AGGAGGGAGAGCTGGACTTGAGAGCTGAAGATTTGGTGAGTGTGTCTATGTATGTGTGTGTCAGTACATGTATCGTTGCATGTGTGTAAATCTCTGTGTGTATGAATCTCTTGGAGTGTGTCTGTGTGTATTTGTGGGTATCAGTGTTTATAGGTGTACCAGCATGTGACTGTGTTTGTGTGACTGCATGTGACAATGTGCAACCATTGGAAGCCTGGCAAAAGAGGCAGGAGGATATGCCATTAGCATCAGTGCACTTGTAAGAGGGAAATGGGGAGCAGCCTCATTAGAAATCCCTATCAAATGAAATCAAATGAAACATAGCACCATTTACCCTCAATTGTGCTGATGGAGTAGTGTACAACAGCAGTTTCCAAACTATGTGCCACGGAATATTGCCCCGGTGCTATGATTAGCACCTGGGAAACATTACTGCTCAACATGGACCCGGCTGAATGCCGCGGTCCTTTAAGACCGCGACCGGGCCCCTGTAATATCGGTCGGCTGGGAGGAATTGGCACTTCCCTCCACCACTCCTTGGGCTGGAAGCCATACTCTGCGGACTAGCCAAAGACTCGCACACCCTGCCTGAACGCGAGCTAAACATGGGCCGCCGATACCAGAAGCCTAACACAGCCTCCAAAGGCAGGGAAATAGGCACCATGCTCCAACGGCCGACGCAATCCAGAACAAGCCCCGTGGACAATGCGGACAAGGCCGCAGGATCCCACGAGCAGGAGGGCCTAACAGAGGACCAACAGCAGCCCCTAAAATTGCATGGAACTCACGACTCGGAGCCCGACGATGGCTCCGCTCCCACCACGAAAAGCGACCTCAGGGTCCTGTTAGCAGACATACAAAAAGTCTGGACAGCCGACCTAAATCATCTCAAAACGGAGATCCAGGAGGTCACAAACCGAGTTCAAACCTCGGAAACAAACATCATGGCTGTGCAGATAGACATTGCCGACTATCCAACAAATAAATAATGCTCAGTTGTCCATGTCACTCCAAATGACATCCATGGAGGACAGACAGCGCCGGAATCATGTAAACATATGAGGCATACCAGCCAATATACCCACCGAGGAGCTGCCACATTATATCCGGAGACTTCTGGGCACACTGTTACCTCACTCAGCTGCAAAGAGGATTACCATTGACGGAGCCTACAGGGTAGCAGGGCCACCTAAATCCTCTCCTAAAATGAGCAGAGACGTCATCCTGAGATGCCTGACACACCACGATCAAACTCAGATCATGTCAGCAGCCAGAGGACGCCTCATTAACTTTCTTTCAGGATCTCACCCGAGCTACCCTCCAGTGGCGTAGAACCCTGAGACCGACCACACTCAAACTTCGAGCGGCGGGGACCAGCCGGAACTCTGATAGCTCAACATAAGGAAGTTGTGCACACACACTCACCTTGGAAGAAGGGGCACCCGCCTTTCTCACCTCACTAGGACTGACGAATAGGGCCGCGAGCCCGAATATAGCGGCTTCCACAGACGCCTGGAATCCTGAGTCCGCAATCCCGTTTACACCACGAGCCGGTGGCTCAGGGCCTTGACTCCACCACGAACGGGCGCACACCAAGAATTGGCACGTGAACTGCCCGTTGCGGATGAATACCATCCCTGATATGTTCCAATGTCTTTAATCGAAATTTATTACTGTTTTAATACGTTATAATTGAATGTTTGCGACTGACTTACCTACACAGGTAAAACACTAGAAGGGGTCCCAGACGATAGCCACAAAACGGCCGACAGACTCACCCCCCCTCCCCCTAGGATGGGGCAACCCCTATCACTCTCCCCCAGGACTCTCTGACTCACACACACAACCCCATCAAGACCTTGGAGACGCCTCCTAATTGTCCATCTCCTCGCCACACTGAACCCCAGACACCTGTGAAATTAGTTTGTCGTTGACAGTACAGATATGCAATACACACACCATAGCCCCGCAAAGAAAGACTCCAGCATATCCCCAATTCAGAAGCTGAGAACCTGAACACCGACCCACACAGACCCTAACTGACATTGACTCTTTAGGCCTCTCCACGTTGTTTGTAACTTGTTTTAAAAAAAAAAAACAGATATCACCATCTAACTGCTACCTACATGTACAACAATGGCATATTGTTTTCATTTTTGTATTATAACATGCAAAATAAGCAGCACTGTTAAAAATAAAGAATTATAAATAAAATTTAAAAAAAATAAGTTACATGACTTGATTACTCTTTTTCTGATGAACACAAAGCTTACATTATTTGCCACTTGTGTTGGAAAAGTCCCTCAACTGGAAAAACAGGTTTCTTTTAATGTTAGGTGAGATTAAACTCTGTTTAATTTATAACTTCTTATTAAACATGATATCACAGAGCTTGTCTAGACAACTGGTCTTTCAGATATGGACATTAAACTTACTAAAATAATAAAAGTAAGTCCAAGGGAATGTCAGAAAATACTTACTGCTATTTTTCTATACAAATCTGGTATTAACTGAACATGCTGGCAGTATCACACTCTTTTCACCCTCAGGCAGCCAGTACATGCTGTGATAGGTGAGATCTCAGCATGCACAATCTTTTTACTGATAGAAGTGTGATTGCTGACTGCAATCACACTCATATTACTCTCACACAGCAAGCCCAGTACATGAGAGTAGATTATTCACCGTCTCACCTCTGTGAGCTTAAAGGACCACTATAGTGCCAGGAAAACATACTTGTTTTCCTGGCACTATAGTGCCCTGAGGGTGCCCCCACCCTCAGGGACCCCCTCCCGCCCGGCTCTGGAAGGGGAAAGGGGTAAAAACTTACCTTTTTCCAGCGCTGGGCGGAGAGCTCTCCTCCTTCTCTCCTCCTCCATTCCTCCTCCTGGGCTGAATGCGCACGCGCGGCAAGAGCTGCGCGCGCATTCAGCCCGTCGCATAGGAAAGCATTTACAATGCTTTCCTATGGACGCTTACGTGCTCTCACTGTGAAAATCACAGTGAGAAGCACGCAAGCGCCTCTAGTGGCTGTCAATGAGACAGCTACTAGAGGATTAGGGGGAAGGCTTAACCCATTCATAATTATAGCAGTTTCTCTGAAACTGCTATAATTATGAAAAAATGGGTTAACCCTAGCTGGACCTGGCACCCAGACCACTTCATTAAGCTGAAGTGGTCTGGGTGCCTAGAGTGGTCCTTTAATGTAGTTGTTGTGGTGAGTATAGTCCCTGCAGGCCCTTTCATGTAAGCACTGTCTATTTAGAGAAAAGGTTGTGTTTACATTGCTGCCTAGGGACACCTCCAGTATCAGATGGCCACTAGAGGTGCTTCCTGGGTTAGTGCTGTACAGTGTGCAGCACTGGCGTACAACATCTCTATGCTCTACATGGAGACGCTGAACCTTCTCCATAGAGATGCATTGAATCAATGCGTCTTTATGAGGATATGCTGAATGTCCAGGGTGGCATTAGCCTCACCTACTTAGCATCATCATCAGATTTGACATTCTCATCCAATCCAATGCTTTCTCATAGTAAAGCATTGGATTGGCTGATATTGTCAATTATGATGATGTCAGTCAAAGAGGCGGGGCACTGCCAGCACCAGCGGACCCGTGCAGTGCTAGAATAAAGGCGAGTAAACTACTTATTTTAGGGACCTAAATAGTGTTAACATTCTAGGGTCAGGAATACAAGTTTGTATTCCTGACCCCATAGTGCTCCTTTAATAATTACAAATAAATTGCAGCTAGTAATCATTAAGAAAGTTATACTGGGCCCATATAGATGCTACTATACTAGCCAGTCCTCGCTGGGAGTGAAATTCTACTAGTCAAGATAACTTTTTCACTTGTGAATAGCTAATGGACAAGTATAGATTTTGAGCCATGATTAGGTAAAATAATAAGATAATAAGTTAACCTCACTATGGTTGCATGATGCCCCCCAACAGACTAGCCCGCTGTGCTCATTGATTCAACAGGTTTTTAAACTTACAGTAAACAAAAACCAGTGTTCAGGAGTGACAAAGAGAACATTGCTGTAATGTCCTTAGTAGGTCTTAAAATTAGATAACTACAACTGTCCTCAGATGAACAATGCATAACATAATACATAGTATTATGATTTAAAGGGATCCTATAGTATCAGAAAAACAAAGCCGTTTTCCTGGCACTATACGGTTAATAGTCCCCCCCACCTGCAAAACCCCTTCAGCCACTAACCTGAATCCAGCACCGATGTCCCTTGGTGCTGGATCAGGCTCTGCCCACACTCCTCCCCCGCCAACAGGGGAGACCTAATGCGCATGCGCAGCAATGGCCGCGTGAGCATTAGACCTCCACATAGGAAAGCATTGTTGATTGTTTTCCAATGGGCAAAATCTGACGCTGGAGGTCCGAGAGCACATCCAGCATCAGATAACTGGATCAAAAGTCCGTTTGGATTCTGGAAGCACCCCAAGTGTCTGTCTGGCAGTCAGCAACTGGGGGCAGACACAAAGCTGCAATGTAAATATTGCAGTTTCTGTGGAACTGTAATGTTTTACATTGCAGCACTAAGTGCAAAAGGGTCACTGCACCCAGACCACTACAATTAGCTGAAGTGGTCTGGGTGCCTACAGTGTCCCTTTAAAAACGCTTGGATCATTTCCAGACTAGAGAAGCCTTCTGTTTACCTCACATGGTCCTACAATGCACTTTTAAAAGATGATTATTATTAAGGATCGCCCTGCAGTGAAACGTTGGCTAAATCCGACTGTGAGCATCGCAGCCAAGTCTGTTGCATCAGTCTGTGTACCAAGTAAGATCAGCATCCAAGAGGCGTGGCTTGCCTCGCGTGTGGGCGTGTTCGGTTGCTGGCTAACATTAAATGGGCGGGGTCTCAGTGCTGCTCTACACGGTGAACGCGGGGTGAAGGGGCGTGGACTCACTGAAAGGGCCGGGTTATTGCTGGCTCTGCGGTTATCGGGAATGAAAGGGGCGGGGCCAAAATGGAACGTTGCCCTGTTACTCCGTGTTCTTTATAGAATCGCAGGGTTCCAGGGAGAGCCAGCATTCACATCCTTACTGGGGCATAGTCTGAGCACCCGCTGGGCACTGCCAACATGCTTTGGGCAGCCAATCAGTTTATCAGGAAGTTCTCCACCGCTTCGGTGAGTACCTACCTGACACACACAGGAATAATGCGATTACCCAGGATGTCATTGGCATGCATTGTGAAAGGGCCACACTAACCTGCTTTCTATCTACAGAACTGGGCTCCCTGGGAGCATTGAACGTGGGAACCACGATACTGTATTTTATATTCAGCAGTGAAATGGTTAAAGATCAGGGCCGGACTGCAACTCCCATGACCAATTACTATGGGAGTTGTAGTCATCCTACAGTGTAGACACAATGCCATGCACTAGTACACCCTCCCCCCCCCCACCCCCAGACAGGGAATACATTCACTGCTGTTGACATTAAAGTGACCCCTATAATAAAAGTCATCAAACACCATATACACGGTGCATCGTTAGCAATGGCAATGTAGAATTCAACAGACCGAGCCAATCTCATCTTTTGGTTTTATACGTAAATCACATATACAATGTTATTGCATGCTCTGCACGTAAAGCAGGCTATTCTATGGGCTGGCAGCCTGCCAGGATCTCAGAGCAGCTTTGCCTTGTAACCATAGCTACTGCCAAATTCATACAATAGGCTTTCCTCCAAATTTGGAGTTACATCAGCAGCAGACATGGGGTGCACATGGGATCCAATGGGCATAGCTTTGTCCATTGGATCCCAGAGATTATTCCCACAAGCACTTTGTTTTGTCTCTGGAGCACATGTTGGATAAAAGTGATTCCTTAAAAATAAATGTAGTGCTATCATTCAAGACTATTTAGGCCCATTTTGGAGAATTGAAGACTTGCAACATTGGGCCCCTCTTCTGCCTGCTTCTGTATGGGAAATTTAGGTAACCAATCTGAATTGGAAAATTCTTAATTCAGCTATTCTTTTGATTTTAGCTATTGTAACCTTCTTTCTAAACAATTCACTTTTGGTAAATAACCCTGTTAGAATGTTGGCTAATATCAAGGTGTTTTCAGCAAGGGACGTCCAACATATTTTGGTTTTGCTTCCTGGAAAATAAATGCTTAAAAATCATTACAGAAAACCTACAGACAGAATTACTGACAGCCACTAGAGGCGCTTCTGGGAAACAGTGAAAATAAAATTGCACTATTTCTATCAGATTGTTTTATGGAAAAGCCAGAAGTTGTCAAAAGGCAGAGGATTGCCTTCAACTTTTGTCCAATCCAAGTACTCATCACAAGTGATAACTGTGGGATTCAGTCATCGTCTCACTTATCAAAGCAAGATGTGATATGTGGAGGCTCCAATTGTTTAGCAGGATCCTCCGTAGACCTCAGTGTTGTACTTTCGTGCATGCGCAAGAGTACAGCACTGGCGAGACTCCTGGCAAGGTGAACCGTCAGGAGCTAAAAAGGATCTCCCAGAAGAAGATGCCGGCAGCCGTGTGGAATATCTTTAGATATTTTCCACCCTGTTGCCACTGGAACCTAATCAGAGATGTCTCTTACTGGGGTCCTTGCAAAAAATATGCACCCCCCCCACCTAAAGTGTCAGCTCCACTTTAAAATGCGCATGTGCGAGCATGTGACATAAAAGGTTTGAGAGTTGTTTAGACATCTCTACCTGAACAAATTTATATATATGTGTGTGTGTGTGTATATATATATATATATATATATATATATATATATATATATAATCATATGCATTGGCACGTGCACACATGTCTAAGATGCTTCTTTTCAAACTCACAACCTCTTTTGTCAATGTTCTACTTGTGCCACTACCATTCGACTATTCTCTTTATAATTCCTTCGGCCATATAATTCCTTTACCTAATTTTTAAGGTAAATAATGCTTTTTTTATAGATAAGTAATTACTATTTAGAGTGTTAAAATGATAAGCTGTTTCTCTACTTTAAAATTCTATTGTTCATGTAACGTAATCTCTGGGTTGGCTGATGGTCAGGTTTTCAGAACTGCCACGTTGTGACGAAAGAATCCTTCTCTCTAGCTATTGAAAGTACAGTTCACACTAGAGGCACTGGATTAGTGTGTGTTGATATCTTTAAGAGGATATTCTATAAACATTTAAAAATTGCTACTTTTTAAAATGTTTTTATATATTGCATCAGGATAGATTAGTAGAATTAAAATGAGACACAATATATAAGAAACATGCTTACCCATCATACTATTTCATACCTGACAATTGTCCCTATTTACAAGGGACAGTCCCTAATTTTGTCTCAAATCGCTCTGTCTCAATTTTCTGTCAGTAGGTCCATCTTATCGAAGAGCTCCATATTGTTGGTGTGTCTGATTGCATAACAGAGCTCCACAGCAGTAATACTCACAGTTATGTGTCTTTAAACTGCAATAAATGTGTTTAGAAATTAGTCTGTGCAAGTAATATACATTGTTCATGTTCTAAATTACATTTTAGTTGCACAAATTATTAATAATCAATCACTATCACAAATCAAATTTCTCAGAACAGCCCTGCCCCTGGCAACACCCCTAAAATGAAAGTGTCCCTCTTTATCCATCTGAAACATTGGGAGGTCTACTATTTTGTTTCTTTCTATAAGTGATAGAACCGTTGGACGTTCAAGTTTTTTTTTTTTTAAACCTTAGTAATGCCAACTGGTGTCATATTTACTTTGCAGAAAGCAGTAACAATTTGTTGTCGGTATGGAATGATTTGCAAGAGTGATCTGATGTGCTATCAAATGCGTATCAAATGTGTAAATAAGCGGAAAATAACTTTCTACACAGAATGTGCAGCCTGTTAGATGCTAATTATCAACCAAAGTTAAAACTTCTTACTCGGGGGTTTTGATATAACGTATCATGCTGGGTGTCGATGGCATTTTGATGCAACAGACATTTTGTTGTGTTGTCGTATAATAGTCTTTGGAGAATACTTTCTTATTATTTTCAGTAGCATATGAAGCAGATACAGCAGTTGGCGTATCTTTTACACGTTGCATGACTCGTGATCATAGAAAGCTCATTGGATCTTACATGTCACTCCCAGCAGTACTTTGCTTATCTATTTACATAAATTCCAAAGGCAGCCTTCCAAATCTGAGTGTTTAGTAACTCGCACTGTGTCATTGTCCTCATGGAATTGGAATAAAACAATCATCTTTAAACAAGCAGTTTTATTTTCTTTTAAAACTTAGCTTAACCCCTTAAGGACCAAACTTCTGGAATAAAAGGGAATCATGACATGTCACACATGAGGACGTCCAGCGACGCTCTAGCACAGGTTTCCTGTGCTAGGGACACGGAAGTGCCCTCTAGTGGCTGTCTAGTAGACAGCCACTAGAGGTGGAGTTAACCCTGCAAGGTAATTATTGCAGTTTATTAAAAACTGCAAAAATTACACTTGCAGAGTTAAGAGTAGTGGGAGTTGGCACCAAGACCACTCCAATGGGCAGAAGTGGTCTGGGTGCCTGGAGTGTCCCTTTAATGAAGCAGTTTTGGTGTATAGATCATGCCCCTGCAGTCTAACTGCTCAATTCTCTGCCATTTAGGAGTTAAATTATGTTGTTTATGCAGCCCTAGTTACATCTCCCTGCATTTGACTTGTACAGCCTTCCTAAACACTTATTGTAAAGAGATCTAAAGGGACACTATAGGCACCAAAACAACTTTAGCCTAATGGAGTGGTTTAGGTGTATAGATAATGCCCCTGCAGTCTCACTGCTTAAATATCTGCCATTTAGTAGTTTAATCACTTTGGTTTCTGATCATGCAACCGTAGCCACACCTCCCCTGGCTGTGACACACAGCCTGCATTAATCAAATGTTAACTTGATGTAGGAGTTTTTAATCTCTTGCTCTGTAAACTGAACTTTAATCACTCATAGGAGGCTATTGCAAGGTCTAGAAGGCTGATAAAGAGAGCAGTGGAAACAAAAATATAAATTAAACAGAATGTGCAATAAAGAAAGTTTAAACATTAAAGGAACACTATAGTGCCAGGAAAACAAACTCGTTTTCCTGGCACTATAATGCCCTGAGGGTGCCCCCACCCTCGGGGTCCTACTCCCACCGGGCTGAAGGGGGAGGAAGGGGGTTAATCACTCACCTTTCTCCAGCGCCGGGCTCCCTCTGCACTGGGGACTCTCCTCCTTCGGTCGTCAGAGCCGCGCGCGCATTCAACCAGTCCATAGGAAAGCATTCTCAATGCTTTCCTATAGACGCTGGCGTCTTCTCACTGTGAAAATCACAGTGAGAAGCGCGGAAGCGCCTCTAGCGGCTGTCAATGAGACAGCCACTAGAGGCTGGATTAACCCATATGTAAACATAGCAGGATCACTACAGGCACCCAGACCACTTCAGCTCAATGAAGTGGTCTGGGTGCCAGGTCCCTCTAGTTTTAACCCTGAAGCTGAAAACATAGCAGTTTCATAGTAACTGCTATGTTTCACTGAGGATTAATCTAGCCTCTAATGGCTGTCTCACTGACAGCCGCTAGAGGCGCTTCTGCGATTCTCACTGTGAAAATAACAGCGAGAATACGCTGGACGTCCATAGGAAAGCATTGAGTAATGCATTTTAACCCCTTCAACCCAGCGGGAGGGGGGCCCCGAGGGTGGGGAGGACCTAATGACTCTTTAGTTCCAGGAAAACTAGTTTGTTTTCCTGGCACTATAGTGCTCCTTTAAGGAGCATAGTGACACATAAGAAAGGTTATAGGTGATTTTGATTGTTTTGAGAGACATGACGGTTTCTCCTTAACTACTTATATTGTATTGGACAACATATTTCCACATTACACAACACCATAAAACATGGATTAATGTATTTTTACTGGGATACTTAATAGTTATTCATTTTATAATCCTTTACGTTAAACTCTGGAAATTATTACCAAATAAGTCCAAACTTTCTCCGTTAACTAATTAACTGGTGCTGTAACGTTTGTTAGCACTGTATAAATACATTGTGTGGCAATATATTATTAATGCTATCGCTTTGTCTTTCAGATCTACTATCAAAATAAGTTAAGGCTAGCCCTTATAGGTCAGAGCCTTTTCGGTCAGGAGGTCTATAATAATTTGCGCAAAGAAGGACATAAAGTTGTTGGAGTATTCACTATTCCAGACAAGGATGGGAAGGCAGATCCCTTGGGTAAGTAATCGATTCATAGATACATGTTTACAGCAGAACTGCAATGATCCATTTATGGAATGTGTTATTATTAACTTGCAATACCATAACCGGACACTGTAGGCACTATAACCATTTAATTTCATTGAATCGGTTATAATGCCTGGAGTCTCCTGGTGCTGTCATTCCATTCATTGTTGAAACTATTATGAGCACCTTAAGGACAGGGAGCCAGAATGATCTAACATGGAGCACATACTTTGACTTTAAACCATTTGTGAATGGTTTAAACCTTAAAGGTAAGGAATTCCCATAAACCTGCTGGCACCATAACAACTTAATTTCTATGAAGTTGTTTGGTGCCCAGATTGTGAGAAATAAACCTTTAAATGTTACGGGGATCCCCTATTAAAGGTAAACTGTCAATTCCTAGGAGGATTAATATTATGTTTACTTATTTACTATTCCTACCCTTCAGACGTTCTCCCCGGATACTGAACAAGAGGTGGTTGCGCTTCTCCTCTCCTCTCGCCCCACCACTTGCCCGCTAGATCCTATCCCATCTCACCTTATCAGATCTCTCTCCCCTTGTCTTGTGCCTTCCTTGACACACATCTTCAACTGCTCTCTCTCTTCTGACATTGTTCCTGCTGACCTTAAACATGTAGTACCTATCCTGAAAACAACTGAAAAAAACCATCTCTTGACCCGTCCTCTCCCTTTAACTATCGTCCCATATCCCTGCTCCCTTTCTCCTCAAAGCTTCTGGAAAGACTTGTCTTTAACCGTGTGTCTCGATTCCTCAATTCCAATTCTCTCTTTGACCCTCTTTAATTTGGCTTCCGTCCTCTCCACTATACTGAGACTGCTCTTATCAAAGTTACTAACGACCTAATCGCAGCTAAATCCAAAGGACACTACTCTATACTAATTCTTATTGACCTCTCTGCTGCCTTTGACACTGTTGATCATGCTCTCCTTCTTCAATCACTCGGTCTCTGTGACTCTGACCTCTTGTGGTTTTCCTCTTATCTCTCCCAACACTCATTCAGCATCTCCTTTTCTTATGATATATCCTCCCCTCGTCCTGTCTCGGTTGGAGTCCCCCAAGGCTCTGTCCTTAGTCCCCTTCTATTTTCTTTTTATACTGCCTCTCTTAGCAAACTTATTACCTCTTTTGGATTCCATTACCACCTGGATGCTGCTGACACCCAGATATATCTCTCTTCCCCGGGCCTCCTCTTCAACTTATCGTTCCTGTAAGTTTTCTTGTAATTGTCCTATTTATAGTTAAATCCCCCCTCTCTTAATATTGTAAAGCGCTACAGAATCTTTCGGCGATATAGAAATGGCAATATTAATAATAATAATAATAATTAACAAATATGTATTTGTGAGGTGTGAGAAATATTTATAGTTATATCCTAACTCCAGTAAATTCCAGAAAGTGACAATGCCCCTTTAAATGACACAGTATGCATTAGATAAATGGGCGTTCATGCTAATGATCTCTTCATATAAATACATGAAACTATACTAAATGAATCAGGTATAGGGGAGCAGATTTCTTTAGCTCTTTGTTGGGGTCTGTATATTGCATCTGATCTGTAGAGCCATTACAGGCAGACAGCAAATGCAAGTTAGCTCAGATTGCATGTTGGTGTATGTTTCATTGAATATAAAATGAACTGTCACTAAGCAGAGATCATGTGATATATAGGCATCTGTGACAGGGCTCAGCACTCAGCTTGAGTTTCTCCATCAAGGGTCCTTCTGTTTCAGCACTAGATACCTGAAGTGATTATAGTTGTTATACCCAAACTCTAGCCGAGACTTAGTGAAGGGTGAATAAGAACTGGTTTATTGAGAACAAGGCACACTTTTATACACACGGCCCACAACCCCAGCAGAGGATCCATGGCTGGAAAAATGCAAATCCCACCCTTGCGCCTCTGAGAAAACCAGATCAATAACCGCTAAATTAATTATCTTTAGACATCAAGGCACCATTCCATTTTACCCCAAACTATATTAAATAACACAAATAACCCCCACATATCTTATATCTCCGGAAAGCTCTCCCTCTCTGCCTAATTCGGAAAAAAGAACACTTTTGTGAATTCACAGTGTTCAATCGCCACGGTTAAAATGTTAGCCAGAGTGACCATTGGGAGACTTGCAGCTTTACCTGCGAGGTTCAGTCACTGGGTGGGTTGGAGTGAGGGTGCTCTTCGGGGCTGTGCCTGGTGAAGAACAGGGAGGAAACCAGGGAGTGTGACTTAGCTCTGAAATGAGAAAGCTGTCTCTGCATAGTAGTGAAACTGTTGCATGATCATCCATTGTATCAGAGATACCTAGTAGATCTGCAAAATAGCATGTGTATACAAAAAAAGATGAAATAAAAAATATAGATAACAATTAGGGGGAAAAAAATCAATCTTTAAAATACAACATTTAAGAAGTACACATTTCTTAAGTGACTAACTTCCTCTGTAATCCAGTCATTGCATATCTAAATACACATTCAATGCTCTATTTAGGAGTCTACCCCTTAAATTTATTTACAAGAATGGAAAGCATGGTATGTCTGGGTCGCCATAATCTATAAGAAGAAAATAATTTGGATTGAGCATCTCTTTTTATTACTGTTGCTTGGAGTATCCCTTTAAGCCACAACTATCTCTTACATCAAGATTTACATTTTATTAATTGTGAGTGAGCACTTTTTAAAATGTTGTGGAATGGGACCCAAATTATGTACATGACGTTACTTTGGTGACCCATTCTTTGAATGGGACCCAAATTATATACATGCCATTACATTGGTGACCTATTCTTCAGTTGTAAAATTTGCTCAGTTACTCACTCAATTGTAATCTAATGTTGTAGGAACAAATTCCTACTAGGGAGTACTCCTGGTGAACCTGTTGGCCAACATACCCCTGGGTCTGAGCAAGACAGGTCGTGGTGAACTCTGACAGACAGTTAGCTGGTGAAGGACAATTTCCTTTATCATTTGAAGGGTCTTTGGGACGTCCATTTATTTATTTTTGTGGATTTTACAAGCCTCCACTCATCGGCTCAAAGAAAAATAAAAAAAATCCACGCCATGATCAGCCCTTGTTATTTGTCTGGTCTAAGGGACCCCTACAGCTATTATATATCCTTATTATATATATAGCCTGAGGAAAGAAGAGGGACCTGATCAAAGGTGACTACTGTCATTAAGGGATATAGGACTTCTATTATTTATTTAATTGTTTATTTAATAGACTTGCACATGCGTTTTTTAATTATAAAGGTGATTTTTCATCCAGCCTCACTTTGCTATGTAAGCCATTTTGCTTGCTTAATGTCTGTTCATTTTTTTTTTTTTTACTTTTACAGTTATCATGCTCTCATGTATTTAAATTCCTCCTTTGTACTGGTGTACCAGTTCCTGATTCTACAACTAATCAAAATAGAGTGAATAAACAAGAATTGCAAGTATACAGTACAGTGTATTTAGTCAACTTTATTGGTGTGTGAAACTACTCATAGAGCATTTGTTAATCTGTAAGCTGAAATGAGTGCCCATCACTTGTACTGCGATCCACTAAACTTGGAATTTAACCTATGCATTGTACATTTTAGGCTGAATCGCAGAAATTATTGTTATTTTTCCAATTCTGCTATTTCAGTCTAAAATGTGAAATTTCAAGTCCATTTCTGGATTATAGAATAACCCTAAGAGTGCATATTTGCTAATTTGTTATTCTATTTCATGAATGCTACATAACTATCCAATATTTTTTTCTCTTTCCCGTTCTATTTTAGCGGTGGCTGCAGAGAAAGATGGAACACCAGTATTTAAATTTCCCCGGTGGAGAGTAAAAGGAAAATCTATCAAGGAAGTAGTAGATGCGTATAAGTCTGTAGGAGCTGAGCTGAACGTTCTCCCTTTCTGCTCACAGTTTATTCCCATGGATGTCATTGACAACCCTAAACATGGCTCCATAATCTACCATCCTTCTATCCTCCCTAGACACAGAGGAGCATCTGCTATCAATTGGTGAGCTTTGTCTTTTAATTTTGAAGTTTGTTTCAAGGCCAGTGAGCACATTCTGGCTCCTCATAAAGGGACACTATAGTCACCAGAACAACTGCAACTTATTGTATTTGTTCTGGTGAGTAGAATCAGTAATTTCAGGCTTTATTGGCAGTTAACACAGCCTTTTCAGAGAAAATGCAGTGTTTACATTACAGCCTAGAGATAACTCCACTGGCTACTCCTCACATGGCTACTAGAGGTGCTTAATGGGGCAGTGCTGCACACTCGTCTCTACCCTCATGGAGACACTGAACGTTCCTCATAGAGATACATTGATTCAATTCATCTCTATGTGGAGATGCTGACAGCCCAGAGCTGTGTTTGACTTGTGTTTTCGCACTATAGGGTTAGGAATACTTTTTGTGTTTCTAACCCTATAGTGTTCCTTTAACTCTTGACTAGGGGATAGCCCTTCTTGTCACTGCAGTTATGTCACATCTGTATGCCCAGACCCCAGAAAAAGGACATAATAATTTAGGAAACAATTAGAAAATTCCCCAGCAATCCATAGTGAGTACTGAAAATATTTTAATGGAAACTCTTTAAAGAGGACACATCAACTCTCAAAAAAAAAAAAAAAAGTGCTGTGTTTATGACAATTTCCGAAAATCTACCTCTTAATCTCATGATCTTGCTACATGTCAAAATGTCAATTTTGACAAGTACATAAACAGGTTTGCAGAGAATTGATACAACATATTTGTGTGCTAAGAACATCTGGGATTGTTGTAAAGAATGTTTGGGAAATAAACTACAACATTCTACTGAGCCCATTATGTTCTATGTTGTAGCTCCCTCTCTTTCTATGTATGTTTGTTTATATTTATATATGTGACCTATAAATGATGGGAAATTAACTTATTTGCGGAGTTGTGGAGAAGCCATAATACACCCACAGTCAAGTAGTTTAGAAATATCTCCAGAACCCAAGGAAGAGATTACTTTCCCAAAAAAACATGTCTTGTGTATTTTTGTATTTAATGATATATTTAGGTTAGGGTTACTGTTAATGTAAGCATTTTTATAGTGTAGGGGTCACTTGTTAGTGTTACGGTAGTGTAGGAGTTAAAATGCTTAGTATAGTGAAATTTAAGGTTTAATTTCTAAGTTCCCAGTGCTGCTTACTGCCGTTAATGGGAGTTACAGTCCTATTTTAGCAGACACCATTAAATGGCAACAGCTGCCACTCTAGAGTGTAACTCCCACTAATCTTGTGCGGACTGGGACATGAGTCCCCCAGACTGCATGGAGGTGATCTGTGCATTATTCCTTGTTCATTACAGGAAATAATTTCACGGATGAATTCACCACCCATGATGGACGCATCCTGAAATAAGGGTGCAGATGAGTAGGATAATTATGCAAATCTGTTATAACTAGCCTAACATCTGAAAAATCACATTTGTCCAGCTGCACAGATTAGTCAATATGTGTATTTTTGTATTTAATGATATATTTAGGTTAGGGTTACTGTTAATGTAAGCATTTTTATAGTGTAGGGGTCACTTGTTAGTGTTACGGTAGTGTAGGAGTTAAAATGCTTAGTATAGTGAAATTTAAGGTTTAATTTCTAAGTTCCCAGTGCTGCTTACTGCCGTTAATGGGAGTTACAGTCCTATTTTAGCAGACACCATTAAATGGCAACAGCTGCCACTCTAGAGTGTAACTCCCACTAATCTTGTGCGGACTGGGACATGAGTCCCCCAGACTGCATGGAGGTGATCTGTGCATTATTCCTTGTTCATTACAGGAAATAATTTCACGGATGAATTCACCACCCATGATGGACGCATCCTGAAATAAGGGTGCAGATGAGTAGGATAATTATGCAAATCTGTTATAACTAGCCTAACATCTGAAAAATCACATTTGTCCAGCTGCACAGATTAGTCAATATCTTTCACAAAGATTATTAAATAAAAATATAATTACAGTTATGTTATGCTGCTACACTCTCTGTAAATTATTGCCAAATAAAAAAAATATGTAAACGTGATTTTAATTTCCTTAATTTTATTCTTGTGGTCTGAAATTAGTTTTTTTGCCCTTATTTGTTGAGCCAGCTTAACATGTAATTAAAGGTAATATACATTTTACACAATAAGCAATTAAGCAGAATTATGGCATTCATTTGTGGCAAAGAAATTGACAGTGAAGAAATGCAACTGCTACAGATAAAATTGTACATTTAATCTTATCTACCGTAAATATATTATCAATTATATGCTTCTGTGTCAAGTGATTTTTAAAATTGCAAGGGCGGTTAAAACCATTAAACTACTAAACAGATTTAATATATATATACACACACACACAAAGTAAATGATGTTTTTGAATGGCTGCATGACTTTAAATTGAAAACCTGTGATGACATGCCATTTTAAAGCACCATTTTGCCAATCATTGACTTTTGTTGTGGGGGAAGCGTCAGTGTATCAATAAAGTACCCCACTTAATCCATTAGCATGAGATAATTATCTCTTTATCCATACTTGACAACTGTTCCAAATTTCACATGACAGTCTTGTAGCCTGTTGTCCAATTATTTGTGGACTCCACTAGGTGCCTCCTGACTGTATAGGCCTTAAAAATCTATCTGCCTCAAACCTGGCACAATCTGGACTGCAGGTGACTGTGCCCAAGGAGAAAAAATTATATTTAATAATATCAATTATTCATCCTTCCTGTATCCACTATCACATTCTGTCCTGTGCTTGTCATATTGTATAATGTCCTTAGTAAAGATGTAAATATGTCTCACAATAGGGAGCAGAGCTTTATTCAAAGTGTAGTAAAGTTAATTCGGGGACATTGTATATGTATAGGCTGTGGATAGTGTTTGTCCTGGCTGTATATAGTGTGCATGTATATAATCTGTTCTATGTATAGCGTGTGTGCCATGAGTGTAATGTGTGTATCAGCTGTGTAGCGTGCCAGCTTAGCGCAGGGGTAGGCAGCCTCCTTTTGGCACTACAGACTTTGTGGACTGCATCTCCCCTGAGGCTCTGCCAGTATCATGGCTGTAAGAGGATTCTGGGATATGCAGTCCACAACACCTGGGTGCCAAAGGTCGTGTACCCCTGGTTTCGGACCCCATGTAAAAGAGGTGTTTAAAGATAACTGTGTATAGTGCATCAGCTATACGTGTACTAAGAGCCATGGAATTTTCCAGTTCATAGATAATTTTCTTATACCTGTTTTATTAGCTGTGTGAATTTGACTATTGTACAAAATGTGTTTTATTTAGAAGTAATTTACCTTAAAGATTTTGTTTTGGTATATCTATAATTTTACCAAGCTTACCCTGAGCTACACAGCAGATATTAGAAATCAGCACTGGAAATTATGAAATAAATGCTCCACTGGATGTTAAAAATTGTGTTTCTCTCTTTGAGCAGTAGCCGCTCAGAGCTAGGAACACAGCAATTGACACTCGCCAACACAGCAGATAGCATGCACACATACTGCAGCTCTGACACTCCTATAGAATCAGACGACAGAGTTGCAATTTCTTAAGCAATAACAGCTAAGCTCAGATAATAACGGATTTGGAAAAAATTTACAGTGTGAATATCTTGCCTTAAAATTGACAATTTCAGTGAATAACTGTTAGGAACTGTGATTGTTATGAGCTACAGTTTGCAATTTAGTTGTCCAGTTATGACATAAATATTCCAATATAACAATGCTGAAATAATTGAATTTATTCACTGAGGTTAATGTAAATGTAGGCATTGCAGAATGCTGCTTGGAAATCCCCTAGAATGCTTTGCATATCTCTCAATATTCGTAAATACCAGCGTGAGGGCATAACCTCAGGTAGTGTGTGTGTGTGTGTGTATATGTCGACATGAACACTATTATTTAAATGCTTCTTGCCAGTCAGTGTTGCAGCTGTCCCCAGTATTAATAGATACATGGGTGCATATAAGGCTACCTTGTGGGTGTCAGAGATAAAATGCCAAGCACCTTAACAAATATTTACACTGTGATAATAAGAAGCTAAAATGAACATTGTAACAATTATGACTGGTTTCATAAAAAGAGTTCTAAATGCATCTTCCCCCTCCTCCGCACCCCCCCCCTCCCCCCCCAATGTATGTATTCTGGTCCAACATTCACTAAAAGTCACCGATAATGAATCCAGATGATCTGTAGCTGCAACTGCTCTGAGCTCACTGTTGCTGACAGGCTCAATATTGCTGGACATGCCTCCTATGGAAATTGTAAGCAGCAGTCCTGCCTCTCCTGGCCCCTGTCCATGGTACTGATACTTTGTGTTTGGTAGTTAAATAAACACGTAATACGTATATATTAGTTTAGTGGATATACAGGTATATATATTAGTTTCATACGTGTACCTGAAACTTTTAGTTTAAGCAGGGCAATATTACATTGATATTACTTTAACAATTATTTTCTCTTACCTGACTTTCGTTGGTGCAATTAAACAGTAAATGATAATCCTTAGTGATATTGGAAGCACAGTGACATTTTTCCAGGGACACAACAAATGTATCAATCTTTTTGCCACTTTTTCTGACACAAAAGTGTTATGTTTTCTTTCGTTTTTTCACACCACTGTAAATTTGGGTGTCTTTGGAATTGGACATTTCTGCAAAATCAGTATTAATTTATAAATACAATAAGAATGGATGGTAAGGTATGTCTTTTTGCTGATGATACTAAGATATGTAACAGGGTTGATGTTCCAAGAGGGATAAGCCAAATGATTTAGGTAAACTAGAAAAATGGTCAGAATTGTGGCAACTGACATTTAATGTGGATAAGTGCAAGATAATGCATCTTGGACGTAAAAACCCAAGGGCAGAGTACAGAATATTTGATAGAGTTCTAACCTCAACATATGAGGAAAGGGATTTAGGGGTGATTATTTCTGATGACTTAAAGGTAGGCAGACAATGTAATAGAGCAGCAGGAAATGCTAGCAGAATGCTTGGTTGTATAGGGAGAGGTATTAGCAGTAGAAAGAGGGAAGTGCTCATGCCATTGTACAGAACACTGGTGAGACCTCACTTGGAGTATTGTACACAGTACTGGAGACCGTATCTTCAGAAGGATATTGATACCTTAGAGAGGGTTCAGAGAAGGGCTACTAAACTGGTTCATGGATTGCAGGATAAAACTTACCAGGAAAGGTTAAAGGATCTTAACATGTATAGCTTGGAGGAAAGACGAGGCAGGGGGGATATGATAGAGCAATTTAAATACGTAAAGGGAATCAACACAGTAAAGGAGGAGACTATATTTAAAAAAAGAAAAACTAAAATGAAAATTAAAAATTTTAATTGTGCTCCCAAGCTCAATTTAGATAAATGCAATAACAATAGATTGGGATCCCAAAGTTAGAACATCTGCTAAGAAATTCAAGGAATTCCTGAGTAAAAATCCATTTTATGACTGTTGGAGGACTGTTAATCCAGGGTTGAGGGACTATACATATTTTTGTAGGGTGGCTGAGCGGAGCAGTGCATACTGCGATACAGGAACTTATGTTTCCTGTACCCGGCTGGACTGAAAGGAAGTGCTCACTGAAAGAGCACTTCCGGTCAGTCCGGCCGGGTACAGGAGACTGAATCTCTTGTACCGCGGTGCGCACTGCTCCGCTCAGCAACGCTACCAGGAGACACACAGAGGAGCGGGGACCAAGGAGGGGAGATACACACCGGGGACCAAGGGGGAGAGGGGGGCACTATGAGGGGGATTGGAAAGGAACACTATGTAAGGGGGGAGGTAAGGAACACTATGGGACAGGGGAGAAAGGAACATTAAGGGAGGACACTAAGGTACAGGGGAGGGAATGGAAAAGGAACACTGGTGTGGGGGGGGGGACCACTAAAAGAGAAGGGAGAGGAACATTAAGGGGAATGGGGGTGGGGCACAAAGAGACAGGTACAGGGTGGGGGGGGAGTTCCTACTGCACATATTTACACACACTGCATCCACTACCCACTCTGCATCCACTACACAAACACACACACACACTGCATCCACCACCCACACTACATCCACTACACAAACACATTGCATCCACTATCCACACTGCATCCACTACACACACACACTGCATCCACCACCAACACTGCATCCACTACACCAAGCATGTCAAACTCAAAGTCTAGCACGGGCCAAATAGAGCAGGATTAAGTTTGTGAGCCGCAAAAAAAACCCCAAATTTAAATTTTCATAGAAAAGGTTTATTTTGAACAGTACAGAATAAAAAAAACAGCATCCCCCTCTACTAATTCCCAGTCCTCCCCCTATACTAAATCTCAGTCCTCCCCTATCTACTAAAGCCCAGCACCCCCCTCTACTAAAGCCCAGCACCCAGGTAAGGTTTAGCAGAGTAGGCACCTGCAATGTCGAGAAAGCAGGTGCCTACTCTGCTTTAACACGAAGCATGTACTCGCGGCTCGCTGTGCTGCAAAGAGGTCCATTGTTGGCCGCATGCGGCCCGTGGGGCGCAAGTATGACATGTTTGCACTACACAAACAAACACATTGCATCCACTACACAAACACAGATACACTGCATTTACTAATCAAATACTCTCACTGCATCCACTACACACACATAAATATTCTTGAAAACATAAATAAAATTTGACTGGCATGTATATTTTGTGCATTTACCACTTAATAAAAAAAAGATTTGCAAAAAAAATACAGTAAATGTACAGAATATCCGTAAACTATCGGCTTGAAAGTTCACAGATTATCGGTATCGGCTCTAAAAAAAAATCAATATCGGTCGATCCCTACTTTTGATGTGATTATACTGGAATAATGCTTTAATATCTCTTGTATTGTCAACCGATGGTTTATGCAATAAAAAAAAAGAAACTGTTTGTAGATCTGGTGATAAAACAGATTTCTTTTTTTTTCTTTTTGTGGACCGCTGTGCAGATGTTTTTGTGCTGCTCAGCTTACTCTCTTTATGCACTGTTTGGCACGTTGCATTTGGGAACATTTAACCATGTGAGAATCATTCATGTGAAAAGCTTAATTAATGCTGGCTTCACATAATGCATCAGTCATAATTAGCACTACTACGTGATCTATTTTGCTTATTTTTAGGAATCTGCCTCCACACCGTCTGTAAATGGATATGATTTGTGTTTCCTATTATTATCAATGGCGCAATTGGATGATAACATTTCTTATCGTAATGGATCATTTATTTAATATTTAATCATTCATTGCTTATTCAGAAAACTTAGCTAGTATATACATAATATGATAAATGCTACATCATGCTTTAAACCGTGTGTGATTTAATATACTGTATATGGAGCGATTGGGAGTTGTTTACCTAACACCTGTTGTGCTATTCATAGATTTACTCATTTTGTAGCTAGAGTCGGGCAATAGTATAGTAAGCGTTTTGCATATATATATATATATATTTACACACATACAATGTATAGATTACATGACTGGCAGAACATGTTATAGAATTCCATGCTGCAATGATGGTGAAGACGCCCGTTCAGTTATTCCCCATAATGAATTGATGGATAAGTATGCACAGATCACCTCCATGCAGTCTAGGGGCCCTAATCCCAGGCAGAATTGGAGTATATATACCATTATTCTCATTGTATATCCAAGTGCTACCCTAAAAGTAAAAGTTCTCCCCTTAAAAGAACACTATAGTGTTAGGAATACAAACATGTATTCATAACTCCATAAAGTCCTGCTACCTATCTATGTGTCTCCCCGACAGGTAAGTGTTTGAAAGGTGAGTGTTGCTTAACTTTATGCCCATGCCATGCTGCTTTCCTTAATGCCGCTCCTCCTCATTGGCAGAGATCATTAATATTGATGATCTCAGCCAATCCAATGCTACCCCTTGACGAAGCATTGGGAGGCTAGTGCACATCTGCAGCAAAACACCGTGCTACACCAGTGAAAAGCAGTGCTTCAAATATATGTGCGTTTAGCTCAGTTGTAGCATAGGAAGCACCTCTAGTGGCTATAAGTAAGACAGCCAGTAGAGGCACGGTAAACCAGCAATAGCTTAAACAGACAGGGAAAGTGCACCATAACCACTTCTTTGAGATTAAGTGGTCTGGGCATATCTAGTGTCTCTTTAACCTCTACTTTTCTAACAAACTACCCAACACATTAAAGGGATCCTCTAAGCACTAAAACAACTTTAGCTGATGCCGTTTTGCTGTATAGATCATACCATGGCAGTGTTTCTGGTCAGTTCTCTGCAATTTAGAAGTTAATTTATTTAGAATTCACTTTTGTTTCTCTTGATTCAGCCCTATTTATACCTCTCCTGGCTCACACATTCTACATGACAAAAATGTTTATCTCGTACTCTGTTAAAGGAACAGCCTATTGATTTAAAAAAAATAAAAAAAATTTTTAGTAGATATTTACCCAAAGAACACATGCATGTATTTTTTTTTTTCCTTTGCAGGGTACATGCACAGACTTTCCCAGGCACAGACGTTTAGTGAATGCACTAATCATCACTTTCTAATTAAGAAGCGCGCATGCCATTGCAACTTACATTCGCTTTTCAATGAGCTGTAGTACACACCTGCTTCTTCTGTTAGCTCTGTGAATGAAAGCCTCCTTAGCTGTGTGAGTGACAACCAGGGAGTGTTTTGGCCCCAAATATTAAAGTGCCGAACGCTATTGAAATCGACCCTTTTCCAAACTTCCCAAATCTGACAGATTCCAGACATATTAAGCAAACTGAAGTGAAATGCAATGGGCTTTTAGCGCAATAAAGAACTTGTGCAGCGCTGCAAGTACAGGCAGGGAAGGAGTTAAGAGAAGCTAGTTCTAAACATTTCGCTGAAATGAACTTTGATTAATTTAATGCATTTAATTGGACTTGGGTTTAGCGGCTGGCACTATAGAATGTTAAAGGGCTCTCAGCTGATTTGCAAAGTTAAAGGAAAAGTATGTGCAAATAAGTTTGTAAAATTATCTTTCTGAACAAGTTCCACAAATGTTAAGCAATAGATTTTCTGTGTTAGATGACAAGTCAGATTTGTTTTCATTTCCGTATTTTACTCGCGTACTTTCCTAAATTACATTGTCTGCTTGTCGCTATTGACCTCAGCCTGTTTACGTACACTTGAAGCTCCTCTACTTGAGCTGCAGGGCCAGTGCGTGAGCAAAATCCAGAATCCCCTCTGTATCATTTCTACTTTTAATCTCTCACCCCATCTTTTTCGCTTCCCTATTTCTCCCATGTGCTACTCTGTCATTGTCTTCTCTCTCCCATTCTTTTTTTTGTTCAGTATCTTTCTATCCATTTCCAAACAAAAGATAGCAAACTCCCCAGATAAAACAGGGGGGTGCAGCCTCAAATATATGTGAAGATAAGGCGCACTAAATACCACACCGATCAACTACTGCTCAAATACAAATAATTCCTAAATAAAATATGACGTAACAGGTAAGGGTTAAGCCCTAGACCTCACCTGGGAGGTCCACTGGTAACTTGGTCAACTTGATTGGCCAATTTTGAATTTTTCTATCTCTTACTATCCATTTGCCCAACTCTCTGTCTTTAAACTTTTGGTCTGTTTCTTTCCGAGTTTGCCATTTGTAACCTAACTAGCATATCTCACTGTCTTTCCACCATTTTGTAACTGCATGTGGGTGAGGGTATGTACCCTGTGTGGTGTTTAGCATTGTAACCTTTTTTTGGAAATAAATACTGGGCATGCTAATTTTCATAATTCGTTATATATACCTGACATCACAGGACACAATGCCACCTGATATTACATAACATCTCAGCGAGTGGCATACGAGGAACAAAAAAAACATTCGGAAGGGGAAAATTCCTTAAATCACTAATAAATTACTTACAATGTGTGTACTAGGTCTGACTGCGCGTGAATGTGTAATAGTGTGTGTATACTATCAGGATTAGTGTGTGTATAACAGTGTTTGCATAGTGTTGTCATAGTGTGTGTGATTGTGAATACTATGTCTAAGTGTGTGCATAGCAGTGTGCATACTGTGAGTATGTGTAGCACTTTGTGTGTATATAGTGATGTGTGTACCTGCCATGTATAATTGAGAGAGTCAGAAGAGAAATTTAGTAAAACGGAACAGTAAGTGGGGAAAAGTGCAGCAAACCGTGCAGGCTAGCCACTCAATAAAGGGATCACTCCCAAATCCCACAATCACAAAAAAATGCAAAGAGTATACTAATATACAAGTGAGGGCGCCACTATAACCTTTGTTATTGTGCGCCTTCACTTGTATATTAATATTCTCTTTGCATTTTTTTGAGAAGAGAAATTTAGCCAGATTATCCACCTTTGAATCCCACCAGAGAAAAAATGCCTGTAAATTTCCAGTATTTTTGCAATACTGGCACCAGCTATACAGCCTAAAACAGCCGTAAAATACAGGCTAAATGGCAACCCCAGCTGATGTTGAAGGCAGGGCCGATCCTAGGGTCACTTACGCCTGGGTGGTGAGGCTAGGGCTGCAATGGGTAGTTGAAGCTGCAGTGGGAATAAGGGACTATAGTAGGGGGTTGAGAGCTGTAGTAGGGAGAGGGACTGCAGTGGGGGAATAGGGGCTGTTGTTTGGTTAAATGCATTGTAGTGAGGGGGGGATTAGGGGTTGAAGTAGTGGGATGGCTGCAATTGGGTAAAGAAGCTGTATTTGGGGGGATATGGGCTGTAATTGTGGGTTAGGAGCCTTAGTAGTGCATAGGTGCTGCAATTGGAGTGTATGGGCTGTAATAATGCACAGGAACTGCAATAGGGGAGTAGAGGCTGTAGTAGGTCTTGGGAGCTGTTGTAGGGCATAGGGGCTGCAATTTGGGGTTAGGGGTTTGGGCCTGCAGTAGGGCATAGGGGCTGCAATTGGGGGACAGGGAGTAAGGGCAGTAGTTACGGCATATGGACTGCAATTTGAGGTTAGGGGCTGCAGTAAGGCATATGTGTTGCAATTGGGGGTAGTAGTTAGGGCATAATTACTGCAATTTGAGGTTAGGGGCTGTAACAGGAGGTTAGGGGTTGCAGTAGGGCATAGATGCTGCTATTGAGGGGTAGCGGGTAACATCACTATTTAGGGCATATGGACTGCAATTTGAGGTAAGGGGATGTAATAGGAGGTTAGGGACTGAAGTAGAACTTAGGGGCTGCAATTGGGGGAAATAGGAGCAGAAGAAAAAAATACTAGTTTATCCCCCCTCCCTGAGACTTAGCTTGGGACAGGGAGGGGAAATCCTGTGGTCTGGTGGGAGATGTGCAGCTTTGTCTGCTCTGACCAGTGTTTGCTTTGTCCCAGGTGCCGAGTGTGTCGCGGCATTAACAGCTGTATAACAAATCTGGTCCATTCACTAAAATAAATACATTTAGGTTATTTTATCTGTAACACTTGACTTTTTTTCTCTAATAAAGTGTGACTTGTGGTTAGCTAACAACCAACATAATAATTTTAGGCCAACACAGCTTAGCTGTAAATATCTCTAACTCAGAGTTTAATGTTTTGGACATTGCCTACTCCAATTTCAACTCCCTATTTAACGAATAAACTCTTTATATTACACAGTCCTTCTGTGTTTACTGTATTTATTATAATTAATTTCCAGGACTTTAATTCATGGAGATAAGAAAGCTGGATTTTCTGTTTTTTGGGCTGATGAAGGTCTGGACACTGGGCCAATATTACTGCAGCGAGACTGTGAAGTAGAACCCAATGATACAGTAGATACACTCTACAATCGCTTTCTGTTTCCTGAGGGGATCAAAGCCATGGTGAGTTGTACATCATAAATGATCAGCAGTCCATAGTCTAGCTGGCTCATGGGATAGATGAACAGGGAACCCCATGCTGTTTGGATGTTGGTAAAACCACTGATGAGAAAATTATTGAGGTTTTCTGAGGAGTTTGGTCGCAGGACCATGGCCTACTTGATGAAATAGTGAAATGACCAGAAAACGAGGAACTAGTGATTCTTACACAGATTATGGTGCAATAACATTTCCTGCCCTTGTCTTTGTGTAAATATTTGCTAGTGACTGCAGCTATAATAACTGGCAGGTGAAATAAGTGACTATCCCGATCCTCCCACTCATTTTTACCACCCATTTGGACCTTCCCGTGTGGCTTCATGTGACTCTAGATTATTTCTTTCTTCTTTTGTAAATAACTTTTTTTTTTAATTAAAAGTTTAAAATGTAATGCAGAAAAGAAAATGCTATGCCATTACATGTATCACATGTGTGGCCAAGTTTTACAGGCTATTGGTAGAAACATATTTTCCCATGATCATTAGCAGTATGTTGTGCATAAAAGTCAAAAGACAAGAACATCATCTGGGTAAGAGTATTAAGAGAAAAGAAATGGAAAATGGAGGAAGGAGAAAAATACAGAGAGAGAGAAAATAAAAGGATAAAACTGGATTGGGAAGAGTTGAATGTTCCCCCTCCATGGTCGCGGCCAAGAGTGGGTTGGTAAAACTCCCCTAATGTCCCGCAAAGTTCCAAAACTGCCCCAAAGTCCCCATTGTAATGGTTATGGCATTCAAAAGAAAAGGCTTTAGTGAGTCCTAAGCCCATATATCTTTGTTAATTATTTAGACTTCCAGAGAGAGGGTGGTTTTCTTCTCAAATTACCATGTGGTCCTGCGGATCATCTTTCCTTTATATCTTTTTGTTTCTTTCAGACAGAGGAACATAGGAGACATCAACACCTTTTATTTATTTCTATGTGGGTTTTTTGCTGCAGCAGGGAGTTGTGTTCTGTAGTTCTGCTGCAGAATTGAAAAATTATATTCTGGATAGGCTTGTTATTGAGTTACTTCATCAAGCACCAACATTAAGTTTACCCGCTATTTCCATCGAATGCTTTTATCCTGAAACATGCACCTGCCATTCTTCACAATACAGTCACAATCCCACCCCAAACATATATTGTCCTGGGTGTGCATTACACAGAGTCATTTGGAATAATTAGCCTATGGATATAAAATGAAACGTCACGGTATTTCTCTCTATTTTCTAGGTGGAAGCGGTACAATTAATTGCAGACGGTAAGGCTCCTCGAATAGGCCAGCCAGAAGATGGCGCTACTTATGAAGGAATTCAAAAGAAAGAAAATGCAAAAGTAATGATTGACATATTTGTTGACCATATTCAATCCAGCAAAACGCGTGGGGTTTTTAAAGTGCTTCTTGTAACATTATGTACAGCCTTAATGAATTTGTTAAAAATATATTAGAAAACTAATTGAATCTCTCTTGGCAAGTAATTCTAATTTCCTCATTCAACAACAATGGTTTTAATGATGTGGATCTTAAGTCTAAAAATATTTAATAAAAAATAAAAAAAAAATAGGATTTATTGGGAAGTCACTAGGGAACTTTAAAGGGACAGCAGTACCAAAATCATGTAATCTTAATGAAGTCATTTAGACGTTCTCAGTGAGAAGGCTCTGATAGGAGTATTCCCCAGCACAGACTGATCATACAAGTGATCTACAGTTTTTGCAAGCTGTTTTTCAGATAACCCCAAATAAAACTTGCAGAAAAATACATGTTTTTTGGGGTATATATATTTTTTTCTAGTGTTAAAAACAATAGAAGAAAAAAATCAATTGAGTGTTCCTTTAAAGCAAGTTGATGAATCAGGAAAAACAAACCTCTTCAACCCGCCAATTCTTATTGGTCCGTATATTTTCTTTTTAAAATGGTACATGGTAGCATTGCCGTAGAAATATAGCAGCAACAACTACGTCCAATAATTGGTCTCTACGTCTTGTAGGAAGAAGTTTTTTATTTATTTATTACTGGCATTTATAAAGCGCCAACATATTCCGCAGCGCTGTACAAGAAGTGAGTTAATTTAAAAACATTTGGTTGTATTATATGTCTAGATTTGTTGGGACAACTCTGCTGAGGCTATCCACAACTGGATAAGAGGACATGACAAGGTTCCAGGAGCGTGGACCATAATTAATGGCCAAGTAGGTGAAATCAAGGAATCTTCAGGCTTTCGTTTACTGTTTTCTTTGGCAATACGTTTTATAAAGAGTAAACTTTTCAATTATTTTACTAGACAGTCACATTGTTTGGATCTTCTTTGCTGCAAGGTTCTGTGCCTGCTGGGGAAACATTACCCATTGATGGAGCTTCAAAACCTGGTCTCGTCACAAAAAATGGACTTGTCCTTTTTGGAAATGATGGAAAAATGGTAAGTTGACCAAACTTATTGAAACAGACACCAAATAGAAATTCAATGACCTAGTTCTAAACATAACACAATATAAGACGATATAACGATAGCTTGTTTTAGGAAATTATTTCAAAACTCACAAGACATCACATCTTTCTGCAGTGCCTCCTAGTGGCTCAACAAATCATTTCAGAAGCATTGAAATCCACATGTGTTTAAATCTTAATAATGATATTCACAACCCATCAAAGGCAAAAATTTAAAAACTACTTGGAAGGCGTAACATTATTAAATTAATGGTTCATTAATGATGCAATAGAAATAAACCTTTAGGGGTTTCCCGGTATTATTTTCATTTTATTAACTGCAGATACAGCGATTAACAATCATTCTTAAGATACAACTACATAGAGACCCAAATGGCTGTCAATGGTCTGTGATATAATTCATGTGGGCACTGACTCTGTCTTTAAATACAATCCATCCAAATTGTTTTAAGCCCTTGAAAGGAGAAGAGGCTACATAATCCCTTGATTCTGGGGTTCTCAAAACCTTTGCACGTTAACCTTGTTTTCTTAGGATCTGGTACTAAATTCCTGCCATTTGGACTTCAACAGGTCATATTGCCTTAAACTTTTTTTTTTTACCTTGGGACACTTTTAAGATCCATCCAATGGAATAATCTTTCCTTGTATTCTTAGTCTGTTTACATGCTCAGGGTTACTCTCTATTCTTTAGTATTTTCAATATGCATTAGCTTTGCTGCAGACATTCTTACTTCGGGTTTGGAATTAGAAGCTTGGTCTATAATTACTATATCAGATCCAGTCATGCTTTTTATTTCCATTCCCTAGTTTAATGTCACTGACGCAGTAGTAATGGGATCCCAGGGATACTCAGAATAGTGACACTTCCAAAGTTAAACCATGTGTTTACCGGCAGAAGCTGGGCGTTACATTGAAGGGCAATATCCAGAACTCAAGCGTGGATTCAATTACAATTTATATTAGAGGAATATGATTCAAACAAGTCGGCTGAAACTCATGTTTGAACAAGTCTATTGTAAGTAGTGGCATTAACATTAGATGGCCACATGCCCATACCCAAGTCTACTGTAAGTAGTGGCATTAACATTAGATGGCCACATGCCCATACCCAGTACACTGACTGCCATGAATGGGGACAGCCGTGTCAGGCTCTGTGGCATTGGAGGTTAAATAAAGTAATTTAAAAGCAGCCAGTAATACACCTGCTGGAGATTATCTAAACGGAGCTGTCATCATGGAAACCAATAGAATATTCATGCAGATCACACCTCTTGTAGAATTCTACACCAGAATCTCTCTTTTTACATAACGTGATTGAGTTATTTAGAAGTGTTTTATTATATGGATTTTAATCTCCCGGTAAATTTTATTACTAATGTATTTACAACTGTAAGAAAAAAATAAAGTAATTTGTTTGGAACAGGGGATGGATACATATCTAGCATATTATATAAAAATAAAACACCAGGTTAGTCTATATAGTTCTTTATAGATAGGTAAAACAAAAAATCTATTTTATGTACATTACAGAATTATTTCTTCGGATTACAGATTATGTATCTCTTATTGTGGATTTTTTTGACAGGACACTTTTATAATAAAGTTTGGATTCCAATATCCTGTTGATTGATATGGTAAAAACATTGTTCTAAAGCATATGCATTGCCATCTTCAAGTATTCCCTGACATATGCCCAAAGTTCTCCTTCTCCCGAGCTGCTTTTAAACAGTACTGTACAGAGTTACGGAGGTCGCTGTCCAGTCCAGATTAACATTTCCATTTCCTATAGGCACTTAAACATAATTCAGATAAAGTAATACCGCTGTTCAGTAAGCATATATAAACTCAACATGCAGGCATATAGAAAGAACTTTTGATAAATAAACATATATAATATTTTCTATTTGGCTGAGTTTACATATACTGGAATAAGTTGTCCATGTATGCCAGCTCCCAAAGATGTATATCCACCCATCCCCAGACATCTACCAGTTACTGCAATGGGTTGCACTACGCACCTGTGTAATAATAATATTAAATATGTATACACACACACAGACACACAAACACACACTCGCCCAAAAGTAAGTAGTCAGTTGAGTCAATGAAATGCATCACGGATATTAAATGTTGTGATGAATTTCATTGATTTTGGGCCATCGTGTGTGTGTATATATGAGTGTGTATATGTGTGTGTGTTTGTGTATGTATGTGTGTGTGTGTGTGTGTGTATATGTATGTATATATATATATATATATATATATGTGTGTGTGTGTGTGTGTCTATGTGTATATATATGTGTGTGTCCGTGTGTGTGTTTGTGTATATATAGATAGATAGATGGATCATTTGACTCTTGCACCTGTAGGCCTGGGAATGATGTGAAAAGTAAGTCTTTAGTTATTTCAGTTTGGGGTAAGTTGGTCATTTATTTAAATTCAAAGCAGAACAAATCCAAGTCACTTTAATTTTATTTTCCCACCTAATAGCACACACTGTCCTTATTTTACTTGGCAGTAAGAACTAATATGTATCTTGCTTTCTGTTTACAGCTAATGATCCGGAACCTTCAGTTTGAAGATGGTAAAATGATCCCTGCTTCAAAATACTTCTCTACTGATGACGCGGCAGCTCTCGAGCTCACGGAGGAGGAGAAGGCAATGGAGTCAGAGATTAGGGTAAGTCTGCTGGGAGCAAAGAATGTGATGCGTCTCCTAACACCAAACTTTATATATATAATGCCGCTGAAATTATCTTCACAGTATCAACATCGTTTTGCGTACGAATAAAAAAAAATGGGTTATTGCCAGGTTATCTATTTCTTATCAAGTTGTGCTAAGCAAGTGTGGCATAGCATAAAATTAACTGATATCAGTATAGGGAGATATACGCCACAGGGTGATAAAACATACTGGCAAACATACACACTGTATCAAAAACCATCCAGTAAATATTATAGTAATACATAATCCTATAAATAAATATTTAAAAAAAAAATATATATATATATATAAAGATATGTGTACTCCTTTGACTTCTATGAATTAAACTAACACAATTTTACATTATAATAGATCACAATATAATTCTGGTAGTGATTAAAATCCAAATATTGAGTTCCATGTTCAATTAGAAAGTAAGTTAATGGTTAGATCTGAGAGCTTACTATATACTCCGTTCCCATAGAGGACAGGTCCCATTACCAAAGTATTGGATCTGTATATTTAGTTCTTGTAGGTGAACGGTCCAATAAGCAAAGTCTTGATTCCTAAAAAGGATAGCCAAAAGTAGTCCCACTTCAGCTTCAAGTAGGTAATGTTCACAGTACTTCCTAAAAATAGCAGTTTAGTAGATAAAGGCTTTAAAGCGCAAAAGAAAACTATATGATGCAATATCTTTTTTCCCCCAATATATAAAGCATAAAAAGTATTTGCCTCCCCCCAAGTATAGTGCACTCACACGATATTAAAGTCAAACAAATGCAAAGTCAAACAAGGTGATCGCTTACTGCCTGCTCCTGCGCGTTTCGTGAGGACGTTCTCACTCCTTTTATGTTTTTTATATTTGAAATTAAAGGATATTGCAACATATAGTTTTCTTTGCGCCTTTTTGGCTTTACCTACTAAATGGCAAATTAATTGCCAATATGCACTGTAAGTGTGCGATTAGTCAAATGTGTACAACACATCCAGCTGTCCTCTTGCACCTCTCCGATCTATTAGATATTAGTTAAAGCGGCACCATCATGGCCACATCTGTTGTTTTTTTGTTTTGTTTATTTTATAAACCCTCTCCCACCTCCACTACATTTTATTGTCCCCCTAGTCACCTCCAAATGACCCTAGATCCCCCATTTCACTTTTTTTTTTTGTTTTAAACCTCTTTATCCTTGTCTGGATCTAGGTCCTAGGTGTCTATCTTAGTGTGGGCACATTCCAAACAGAAACTTATGTATGTTTTTCATCCTAAACTGAATGGACAAAGATTCGACATTCTGTTAGGACAAAATTTGGTGGATTCTCTGATGCCTTAGTTTAAATGACAGGACGTTCGGGAATGGCGAATAAAGCAGCATGAAAACACGGAGGAGGGTGAGTATTGTGGGAAAACTTTCTCTGACACAGGAAATGGAGACAAGTTCCTCCTTGTCTCAGAGAATATCAGGTGTAGGCATGGGCGTCCGCAGGAATTTTTCCAGGGGGGGCATAATTGTAATGAAATCCAGGCTTGGTACCTTTTTGACAGTGTAATGAAAGGTAAGGGGCATAGCCATTATCACATAAAGCCAGGGTGAATAGCATTTTCACAACTATGGTGTCAGGAATATATGTTTGTATTCCTGACACTATAGTGTTCCTTTAAGCAAATTAAAGGACCATTCTGGTCACCATAACAACATCACCTAAATGAAAATGCTGGGTGCTCGCTTTCCTTTAAGAGGTTAAATCACTGTCAAATGGTTTAACCCCAAAGGCTTCCTCCAGCTCCAGGTCGCTCAGTGGTATATGGCTTCTGAAACAGAGTGTCAGGAAGTGCAGATTGTCGTCAGGCATGGGTGCCGCTGATTGGCTAGAGTGGACAGTTGACGCTAGAAGCCAATCGCTAGTTCCCGGTTCATAAAATATTTTTACTTTTTTTATGAATGGGGAGCTACTGATTGGCTTAGAGTGCCAGCTGACCGCTCTAGCCAATCAGCAACAACCCTACCCAACGGCACTCTGTGCTTCCTGACACTCAGTAAATAAAAGGGAAAACATTAATACTGATATTTTTTTACCTTTGGAGATGAGAAGGTCCAGCGTTTCCCTGCCTGGCCCAGGTACCAAAGCCTTATGATGTGGTGTCCAGGATAAAGTGGAGGGTTCACTTCATTTGTCCTTCCTGCTCCAATCTCCTTTTCCTCTCCTTCATTTGACAGTCTTTTTTTTTTCTTCTGACACTGTTTTCTATCCTTGACCTTTCTGCTACTTTCTGCTTATTTTGCGCCCTTCTGCTCCTTTCTCATTCTGATCCCTTTCTGCTCCTTGCAGACCCTTTCTGCCCCCTTTTCTACTTTATCTTTGTGCTCATTGCTGTCCCTTTCTGTTCCTTCTCCTACTTTACCTTTGTGCTCCTTCTGATTCTTTCTGCTCCTTTACCTTTGTGCTCCTTCTTGCTCCTTGCAGGCCCTTCCTGCTCATTCTCCTATTTTACCTTTGTGCTCCTTCTGCCCCTTCCAGCTCATTTCTGACCCTTTCTGCTCCTTCTACTTTACCTTTGTGCTGCTTTACCTTCCAGCTCCTTGCTGACCCTTCCTGTTCATTTCTGTTCCTTTGTGCTCCTTCTCCTACTTTACCTTTTGTGCTCCTTGCTGTCCCTTCCAGCTCTTTGCTGCCCCTTTCTGCTCCTTGATGTCCCTTCCTGCTCATTTCTGTTCCTTCTCCTTTTCTTACTTTACCTTCCTGCTCCTTGCTGACTCTTCATGTAGGCTGTCTCCCCCATCCCTCACTTCCATAGGCGTGCGCACGGGGTGTGTCGGGTGTGCATGGGCACACCCTAATCCCCGCAGCACGCCAATGGATTGAGACCGGCAGGGGAGATCTCTGGATCTCCCCGGTCGGCTCATGCAGAGCCGACGCTATCCGAGCGGTGGCTCTGGTCTAAGCCTCCATGGGCCGGTGGGGAGATCAAAGTTCTACTTCACCAGTCCACAGCAGCATGGAGGGAGGCAGCAGAGAACCCGGGCTAGAGTTCACTCTCCACTGAACCACCAGGGAAGGCAGCAGGACTGGGATATTAACTAATCTGCCCCCACCTCCACCCAAGCATACAGCACACACACACAGCACCTACACACAGCACACACAACCCACAAACAGCACCCACACACATACATCACCCTCGCACACACAGCACCCACACACACCCAGCATCCTCACAAACACACAAAACACACACACAACACCCGCACAGCACCCACACACAAACAGCACACACACACAAACAGCACCCTGACAAACACACAGCACACACACACAGCACACTAACAGGACCCGAACAAACACACACACACAAACACCCTCTCACACACACACACACAGCACACTACCAGTTTTCTCACACACAGCACACAAACAGCACCCTCACACATAGCACACTAACAGCACTCTCACAAACACACACAAAAACACCCTCACCCACACAGCACACTACCAGCACCCTCACACAGCAGTGTATATATATGTATATAGTATGTCCTGATGAAAGCTCCCTAGTGGAGCTGAAACGTTGATTTATCTTTACACAGTAAAAGCTGTTAAAACTCCTTGAGTGCCGGTCTTTCCACTTTCTACAATTGAGCTACCAGAGCACCAGGTAAAATATATCTTTTTATTGGAGTGCAGGGGTTTGACATATTTTTTATATATATATATATATATATATATATATATATATATATATATATATATACATACATATACACACACACATACATATACATATGGCGTGTGTTTGTGCTTTAGGGTGCACACCCTAATGCAATAGGCTGCGCACGCCTTTGCTCACTCCCCTAATCTATAGGCTGCTGCCCCCCCAAATCTATAGGCTGCTGCCCCCCAAAACCTATAGGCTGCTGCCCCCAAATCTATAGGCTGCTGCCCCCCAGCCTCACTCCCTAATCTATAGGCTGCTGCCCCCCCCAAAAAAATCTACAGGCTATCTCAAACCCTCCCCTCACTCCCCTGATCTGTAGGCTGTCTCTGGCCCCCCATCCCTCAGTCCCCTGATCTGTAGGCTCTCTCTGGCTGCATGTGTTGCTCCCCTGCGGTTTCAATCAGCAGAGAGAAGCAGGGATAAGATGCAGCTTCCTATCCCTGGCTCTCTCCATACACAGCGCCGGTATTGCAGTTCATTTTAAATCTCACACGAAAAATATAAGAACAAGCTGAAAAATCCAATCCCCTGCGGACGCCCATGGGTGTAGGAAATGTACACAAGACAAACCTTGACTTATGTTTTAAAGAAAACTAGATCAGAAATGAAGATAAGGAGAACAGATTCTGAGAGAGGATGAGAAGAGAGGATGAGAAGAGGAAATGATGGGGGAAAGGTAAGTTCAGCGTGACAGTGCCGCTTTAAGTAACAAATTATTTTGTTTTAAAGGATGTCTCAAGTAGTAAAAAAAACAGATGGGAATTAAGGCAGACATTATTTGGTAGTTTTGTGGAATATTGATGAAGGTATGTACTGATCAAAGATCCAGCACATAGCCAGGTTTTTTTTTTAAATTTTTCTGACAAATTCTGGGATCCTTGTGTTGCTGCTACTGTTTACATGTATTTTCAGTATTTAGAGTGCCTTTCTAACGATCTGCCTCACCTCTGTATTTAACAACCTGAAATCGTGGTGGTAGTATAATAACTCCATTATTAATTCACCTGTCCATACTATAATATCCATTTTCTAATAGATCTGTATTCTCAAAATGGCGGCTGCATACATATGGTGCTTTTTATAGCCCTCAAAATGTCATAGATCTTCTGAAACTCAGGTTTTAGTATCTTACAGGTGGCAAGGTTTAAGACTATTTAGTATAATCTAGCAATCTAGAGAAGACATCAGCTGGGGAAGGGAGCATTGAGAATGCTTTTACTGTATGTCTACTGTATGGTTTTACGATGTTGAGCAGCAGATAGTTTATTGTTAATCTTACTATCCAATATTTTGGTTTCTTTTACCAATGCAGAACATTTGGAAAGCAATTCTAAGCAATGTTGCTGTGATTGAGGATACTACAGACTTTTTTAAATCTGGAGCAGCATCTATGGATGTAGTCAGGTGAGTAGGGCATGCTTGTAGACATTTTAGCTTTTCCTGAGTCACTACCTATTCCCTTCCTTTCTTGTAGTTTGAAGTTCTGTCAATGCTCTAGTGAAGGTATATAGTCCAAAAGGTTTTTTTTTTCCGTAATAACCCTCCTAAAGGTACAAATTAATTACCTAAACCAGACCTTAGAATGGCGGGACTGAAAGTAATAAAAAGAGAATAGTCAAAACCAAGCCCAAGTCAAAGGGAGCCAGAGAACAACCAAAACGAAATACCATAACGGAGTCAAGGGAACCAGAAATCAGAGTAGTCAGGGAAAAGCCGAATAAAAATCATAATAGCAAAAAACCCAAATACAAACGCACTCTTGAGACATTAGTAAACTAGGATCTACAACAGGGCACTGAAACACCTGCTAAATGTGCTTTTATATGTTTGGGAGCATGATTGATGTTGTCACGCCCCCAAAACGTGAGAGGGCGCCTGTAAATCCCGCCCATAGTACTGCCCATCGGCTGACGTCAGCACGCGTCATAAAAGGGGGCGTGCACACAGCGTCTGGGAGACTAGCCAATCGGGCAGGAAGACTGGAGGAAGCGGTCCGCCCGATCAGAGAAAGAGCTGATCGTCAGATCGCCAAGGTACCGTAAGTATTGGATCCCTTACAATATTTTTCATGTTTGTGTAAAAAGTGGTGTATAACACTGGAAACATTCACGTGAATGGTTACAAATAATGTCCCCTTAGTTTTCTTATGATTTTATGTTACAATATGCAATGTTTATTAACTGGAGTTATTATTATATAAATAGGATTAAAAAGTTTGACAACAATCCTGTCCGCCCGCACCGCCTACGCCTTACCCCTCTGTCAGTCCCTGTATTGGCTTCCTGTAAGATATAGGGCACAATTTAAAATTCTGGTTCTTGCATTCAACTCTCTACATAATGCTGCTCCCACCTATCTATCCTCCCTAATACACAAGTATGTCTAGTCGAGGCCCCTACGCTCGGCCGAAGACCTACGTCTAACCTCTGTTCGTACTCCTACCTCTGATGCTCGCCTTGAAGACTTCTCTAGGGCTGCATCGTTCCTGTGGAACTCCCTTCCCTATTTCCTTTAGACACTCACCCAATCTCCATTCCTCTAACATCCAGTCATCTTGTAGTCAGGAGCAATTGACTGATGTTCTTCAATGTTCATTATTTCAAAGGTTAGTTGAGGAGATCAAACAGAAATTTGGAGGACTAGAACTTCAGAATGAAGATGTCTACATGGCAACCACATTTCAGGATTTCATACAGATGGTTGTAAGAAAATCAAGAGGGGAAGGAAAAGAGGAATTAATAATAGATTACGTAAGTTGGAATTTAGTATTATCTGTGAAATAAGATGAATGTGTTCAAATAAATATAGAATTAAACTTTGGTAGAAAACATTAATTTCCCTAAATTTTCGAAGATCCAGAGTTGTTGGGTTTTTAAAAACATTTTTTTTATGTATTTCAGTTTCTGAGCCCATTGTACCTCATCCAAAAGCTCAGAATCACGTATTCATGAAATCAAGGATATGTCCTACCACGTGTAATGAATACACACTGGAAAAAAATACAATTATGCAAAATTAGTTTTTATTCTAACATTAATGTTAACAATTAATGTTAATTAGCACTTAAGATCTATAATCTTGAATTTACTTTTTTAAATGTTGTATGTGAACAAAAAGAAAAAAAATAATGTGTTGATAAATAATGACTGCCGGCCTTGCCCTGCCAAGGGTGATATGCACATAATTTTATCATTCTGACGGTTTTTAGCCATGATTTATTGGGTAAGAGTGTTAATGGAAACCAAAACAAATGCAACCCTTGATATTTTTATCATATCAATCTAGTATTCCAAGGGTGTCGTATGTCACAGTGCTATGCAGCCTATAAGAAATCACCCACAAAAAATAAGAGGTAGTATACATCTTAACCTTGCTTGATTTATTTGTTTCCTGTTGGAGCAAATAAATTATACATACCGCTTTGGATCGCACTTTTCATTTTCTGTCCATCAAATAAGTTATATATATCCAAAAGAACGTAGTGAATATGATGACCCTATATGTAACTGGTAACATTTTTGGTATTAGTTAGAATAATATATGAAGTAAGAGGTTCCAGAATCGAGAGACCATGATGATGACCGTAATAGAAATACATGAATAGGTAAACTAAATAGGCGCAAGTCAAACTGCTAAAGCATGTGCCTTCATGTGCACCCAACTATTGTGAAAGGTATTTAAAGGGACCCTACAGTCACGAAAAAACAACTTTAGCATGTTTTTATGGCATTCGCTATTTACGTTTCAAGTAGATGATATATGAGATATTTCTATACAAGTGTCACACAACCAGTGTTTTGTTTCATATTCATTTCTTAACCTTGACTTGTTTTGATGACTCTTGAAGATAGACAGGTTAAAGGGGAACTGTCACGTCACAGGATTTTATTTTTATAAATCTAGGGTTATTCACTAAAGTGAGAATTATCAGGATTTTCAAGTGAATGTCATGTTTTAGACCAAAATAGTTGAATTGGAAGTGTAGCTCAGTAGAGGATTTTTTTTGCCCATTCATCTATTTTTACCTTAAAGGGACAGCTGGCACCGAGACCACTTCAGCTCATTGAAGTGATCTGAGTGCCATGCCACTTAACCCTACAGTGGTAATTATTGCAGTTTCTGAGAAACTGCAATAATTACCTTGCAGGGTTAAGTCCTCCTCTAGTGGCTGTCTACAAGACAGCCACTAGAGGGACTTCTGGGTGCTTAGATGACTTTTAGTCATCTAAATGACGCTGGACGTCCTCGCGCTATGCATAAGGACTTCCAGCGTCACCAGAATCCCCATAGGTATTTTAATACTTTCACAGTGTATTGGCACAATAAGCCCTTTAATTGGCTATTTACATATCTATGTGATGAGTTATTGCACTTTATATTAAAGCACTTTTTAAATGTAATATTTGCACAGTATTTTAGCACAGTTTTTTTTTTTGCAATATTAAGGTTATTGTATTGCATGATATTTTTTGGCACAATTTTCATCTGCAATATTGTGGTTATTGCATGATAAATTATTGGCACAATTCTCAAAGGCACTTCGCACTTTATTTTTTGGTTTGATAAGCAAAGAAATGGTTAATTAACCCTTTTTTCGCTATGGAATGGGGCCCTAGTCACCTATAGAGTTAGGAATATTTATATTCCTAACGCTATAGTGTTCCTTTAAATGTCACAATTTGGTTTTAAGTTCTCAACAATTCAGTATGTATTGATTAAAGCCCAAATTATTTACATGATAATACAGTCTGTATAGTTCTAATTTCTGATAACACTAATGTTGTTTCAGCTGTAGTTAACTAAAAAATCTTTTTTGTTGCCTATTGTATTCACAAGGTTAAAAATAAAGATTAGTAACTTCATACAACTAAGAGGGAGGCTGCAAAATACACTACACATCTTACAAAAGTATACATTTTGAATTTATATGAAAGATATATAATTAATAAACCATTGAGAGCCAAGGTCTAGTAATCCTATTGCTTTTTTTAAGGTTACAAAAGATGTTAACAATATGACCGTGAAAATGCCTCACCAGTGTTTTATTAATGGCCAATTTGTGGATTCAGAGGATGGAAAAACATACGATACCATAAACCCAACTGATGGTTCTGTAAGTATGGCTTTCATCATCCTGTTATTTTTTTCCCCCAATGAACATTCACCTATCACATTCAATAGTAAATATCTTACCTTTCAATGTGTGTTCTCTCCTAGATAATCTGCAAAATCTCGTATTGCTCTGTAGCAGATGTCGACAAAGCCGTTTCTGCAGCAAAAGATGCTTTTGAAATTGGTGAATGGGGTAAAATGAATGCGAGAGACCGAGGCAGGATACTGTACAGGTTGGTGTGCAATACTGTATTACTTGTATACAACTAATGATTGCATTGATTGCTTTCCTTTAAGTGCATGTTAGTCATATTTGTACATTACCTAATAAATTAGTGATTGACAAAAAGGCGGTAGTAGCAAGTAAAATAGCGTTTTACCTTTTTTATATGTCAATGGTGAGAGCCAGTCTGAATATACATCGACAGATTAGGTACCAGTTCCTAAACTGGATATTAAGTTTATTAAATAAATAGATTTATAAAGTTAATTAAATAAATAGATTTTACTAAAGCAGTTCTTAAAGGAGATTGCACGATCATAGTTAAAGCATTGTCAGGAATTCAAAGTGTATTTCAAATTAAAGGCCAAAAAAGCTGATCTGAAAACATAGCTGAAATTGAGAACGTGACTTTTTAGTGTAAAATGTGAAATTTATTTTAAATTGATTTTGGATTTTCATCAATTCAGTTTGCTGAATAATTATGTGTGTGTTATATACTTGTAATGCTTGTATGAAGGGCTAAGACTGACGCATTAACAGGGTTATTTACTAAAGTGAGAATTTTTCAGAATTAAAATTGAATTTCAAATTTAAAGGGACGCTATGGTCACCAGAACAACTACAGCTTATTGTATATGTTTTGGGGAGTATAATCATTCCCTTCAGGCTTTTTGTAGTAAACACTATCTTTTCAGAGAAAAGGCAGTGTTTACGTTAGCCTACTGACACCTCCAGTTTCCACTCCTCAGATGGCTGCTAGAGGTGCTTTCTGTGGCAGTGCTGCACAATATGCACTATTGCCATTCAGTGTCTATTCCCTCTGCATGGAGACACTGAACTTTTCTCATAGAGATCCATTGATTAAATGCGTCTCTATGATGAACTGCTGATTGGCCAGGGCTGTGTTTGGCTTGTGCTGACTCTGCACCTGTTCTGCCTCCTTGACATGCTCAGCCAATCCTATGGGAAAGCATTGTAATTCGCTCAGAGAGCAGGCAGATCAGAGGCAGAGCCAGCAGCAGCAGGCTGCAATACAAGTAAGCTTTTACTATATTTAGGGAGGCAGGGGGCTGGATGGTGGTTTTACACTATAGGGTTAAAAATACATGTTTGTGTTCCTGACCCTATTGTGCTCCTTTAAAGCGAAACTGGAAGAATGGCTGACTTGGAGAATGTTTCCAGTTCAACTATATGTTATTCACTTTCAATACCCGATGTGTGTCACTTTAATAAATTACTCAGCAATGGTTAGTCCAATCTTCCCTTTTCTCTGCAATAAAGCTAAGGATGCATCTGTGGACATTTCAGGTAAGGGTCATTCAGCAAAAACAAAGGGAAAGATTGAAAAATCACAGTGATAAAACAGTGGTATCCATGTAGGGAAATAAAACCATTAAACAAATAACAAGAACGATATATGGGCCTGAGCTGGTTAAACTAACTTTTAACATAATGGACATTATATAAAGGTGATAAAATATGCAATGTGTCAGGGATATGCAAAGTATGACTAGCATAGGCTGTAGTTACAAAGACATGGGAATATATACATTGATAATAAGAAAAGAAAATAATACTAAATATAAAACCACCCACAACAGAAATAACAGGGTATGTAAAATATAATGAAATGGTGGTACTCCAGAAGGCTACCTGTTGCATATGACAGTAGGACAGCTGATGGAGCTCTGTTTTGCTTGCAAGTCTGGGGCTGGATAGATTTTAAATCAGGCTGTTGCATTTTTTTTATCTCAAAAATGTTCTTTCAATTTGATTGTTAAAGAGATGCTATAGTCACCAAAACAACTTTAGCTTAATGAAGCAGTTTTGGTGTATGGATCATACCCCTGTTGTTGATGCAGCCCTGGTCACACCTACCCACATGTGACTTACACGGCCTTCCTAAACACTTCCTGTAAAGAGTCATCTAATGTTTATACTTCCTTTATTGCAATTTCTGTTAAATTTAGAATTTCTTATCTCCTGCTCTGTTATTAGCTTGGGAGACCCTGCAGTAGACTAATGTGTATGATTAAAGTTAAATTTGCAGAGCAGTAGATAAAAACTTTTAAAGTAAGTAACATCTGATTGAAAGTAAAGCCATTTACCATAGCCATAAACAGAAACAAAAGCGATTTAACTCCTAAATGGCAGAGAACTGAGCTGTGAAACTTCAGAGGCATTATCTATACACAAAAACTTATTCATTAAGCTAAAGTTGTTTTGGTGATGTAATGTCCCTTCAATTTATGTATTTATTTATGTATGGATTGAGGAAATTATTTGTGATTTTAATGTGGCCTTGACATTTGTACACTGGTCTGGGAGTAAATGAAAATAAATATGGAAAATTAAATTACATACTTACTTAGTAATTTTCTTTTCCTGGCTATTTATCATGGCAGCAACACTAATGGGTAGCTCCGCTCCTACCCAGATCAGGACAAGATAAACCAAAAAAAAAAAAGAGAGAGAGAGAACGAGGCTGAAGGCATAAACGGTCCCTCCTCCTTCCATACCTCAGTCAAGTTAAAAAGAAAGAAGGGTGGGTGACTGATGCTGCCATGATAAATGCAAGGAAAAGAAAATTACTAGGTAAGTATGTAATTACATTTTCCACATTTTCCTAATCATGGCAGCATCACTAATGGGTAATAACCAAGCAGAAACCTTGAAAGGGAGGGAAAACAAATTGAATAGACACAGACTCATATTGCTGCAAACTATATCTAATTTTTATTATGCATGTTAACTGCAGAGAAGACTCCTCTCCCAAAGGAAGTAGTCGTAGAATGAAGACCCAGTTTGTAGTGCTTAATTAAGGTTGTTGGAGTGGACCAAGAAGCTGCCCTGCAGATGTCATCCGGAGGAACCTCTATCCAATTAGCCCAAGATGTAGCCAGGGATTTGGTAGAGTGAGCTCTGATCTTGGCCGGAGGCGTTAGCTTGTTCCGAAGGTAGGAGTCTGTTATGACAGAAGCTATCCATCTCCTTAAGGTAGAGGAAGATGCTGCTTCACCCTTATGAAGGCCAGATGGAAGGATAAATTATTTTTTGTTTTTTCTGAAGTCCGAAGTAACAGGAACTTAATGAGAAGTTCTCTCACATCGAGAGAGAACCACTTCCTGGAGAAGATGAAATCTAGAAACGACTTTAGGAAGGAAGTCTTCAATAGGTCTTAGGATCACTTGATCATGAAAAATATGAATGTGTGACTCATCACTAGAGAATGCCTGGAGTTCCGAAATTCTCTTGTTTTTTTGAGACCGCCACCAGGAACTCTGTTTTATCAGTGAGGCGTTTATTGGAGATATCCTGCAGATGTGCATAGGGATATTCAGTTAAAGTATTTAGGACCATTGGTAGATCCCATGGAGGAGCTGTGTTTTTAGCTGGAGGGCGCAAGTGTAATGCTGCCTTAAAGAACCTTGAGATGAGAGGGTGAGAAGCCCATGAGGTATTACAAAGGGCTAATAGAGCTGAGGACTGCACCTTCAAAGTGCTGAGGCCTTTGTCCAGGCCTGCCTGTAGAAATTCCAGAACATGGAGGTGAGTACAGTGTAGAGAATCAAAAGACTTTGCCACAGCCCATTTTTGAAAGGTTTCCCAAATTCTGTAATAGCAGGCAGAGGTAGACTGTTTCCTTGTCTTCAGGAGAGTATTAATTACTGCTTCGGATAGGCTCTGGTTATGGAGGAATCCCCTTTCAATAGCCAGATCAATAGTCTAGATTCCAGCTGGATGGGTTGGATTGAATCGCTGGACCCTGGATGAGAAGGTCCAGGGAGATTGGAAGTAACCAAGGATGGGTCAGAGACATTCTCAAAGTCTCCTGGGCCAGATCTCCTTCTTCCCTGGGGAGGAAGACATACCCCAGGTCGAAGTTCCAAGGGTGGAAAAGGGCGTCTTGACTGAAAGCTAGAGGGTCCTTGGAGAGGGAAAAGTAGCTGGTCACCTGAGCATTCCTTCTGTTGGCCATTAGGTCTAGCTGGGGCATGCCCCAACTCTTCGTCAGAGCCCATAAAACTCTGGAGTTCAAGCTCCACTCGCCTGGTAGTATTTGAGTTCTGCTGAGAAAATCTGCCAGAATATTTTCCGTCCCTGGGAGGTAGATTGCTTTTATCCCCTTGATATTAACTTGCGCCCAGGACATCAGTGGAGTAATTTCTTGTAAGAGAAGTTTGCTTCTTGTGCCTCCTTGGTAATTTATATATGCAGCCACTGCTCTGTTGTCCGTCTGTATGGATATCCAATGGCTCTTGAGAGCCCCATGGAGTCTCTGTAATGCAATGTATATGGTCCTCAATTCCTGCAGATTTGAGTGGAAGTACCTTTCTGATGGGTTCCAAGTGCCTTGAATAGGACTTGTATAGTGTGACGAGAGGCTTCCTGAAGGGATGGAGCAACTATTAATATGTCGTCTAGATAGTGAAACATGACTAGTCCTTGTTTTCTTAGATGTGCTTTAAGAGCCACTAAGATTTTTGAGAAGGTCTTTGAGGCAAGGCTTAAGCCAAAAGGCCTCTGAATTGGAAATGCTGTCCTAATATATGAAATTGGAGGCAATGTTGATGTTGGGAATAATAGTGGATATGGATTCCATCTTGAATGATAGACATTTCGGAAATATGTTAGTGTTTTTCAGATCTATAATTAGTCTCCATTTCCCGTTGGGTTTTGGGGCCAAGAACACTGTCAAATAGATGCCTTTGTATCTTTCTGAAAGAGGTACCTCTTCTTTGACACCCTGGAGAAGTAGTTTTTTTGACACCTGCTATCAAGGCTTCTCCTTTTTCCCCCGAGTGTTTTCTAGACCCTAATGAAGGAGTCGAATTAGATTCTGTAGCCTTGATCTAGGATAAACTTGTCCCATGAGTCTGAAATATTTGTGGCCCAGACAGATCGGAAATTATTAAGTCTTACTCCTAAGCAGTCTGTGTGGGCCTGTAAACCTTCAGAAGTTTTTAGAAGGAACTCTAGATCCCCTCCCTCTGTTGGTTTAGAGGAAGAGGAAGGAGGTTGATAGGATCTCCAAGATGCATATCTGTTATATACTTTCCCTAGGTAAGGACTTGTCAAATCTCTTATCTTTCCATGAGTTCGAGTATGCGTTGAGTTAGGAAAGCTTTCTTACTGTCTGCAGCTTTTTAGATGGCTTCATAGAGGACTTTTCCAAAGAGGAGATCACCCTAGAAGGGAAGAGCACAAAGGAAAAGAGGACTTTTCCAAAGAGATCACCCTGGAAGGGAAGAGCGCAAAGGGATAGAGGACTTTTCCAAAGAGGAGATCACCCTAGAAGGGAAGAGCGCAAAGTGATAGAGCACTTTTCCAAAGAGGAGATCACCCTGGAAGGGAAGAGCGCAAAGGGAGGCTTTTGAAGAGTAGTCAGCTCCCCAACAGTGTAGCCACAGGGCTCTTCTGGGTGAGACCGATAATGCCATGCTTTTGGAAATCATCTTGGATATATCCAGGGAAGCTTCGGAACTTAAGTCCGCTGCGAGTCTAAAGTCCCTAAGGTTGTCCAGAAGGGTTTCTCTTCTTACACATCTTTGGATATCTTCTTCCTGACATGGTTCTCACCGTGACATCTAGACGGCCAGATGTGGTCGACCCCAGAAGTGCCCAACAGGGGATTTGGACCTGGGTACTTTGCGGTCCTGGGCCTACTTTACTGCCTTTCTGCCACCGCATTTCTAGCTCTGTCCTACCTGGCTATGTTTCCAGCACTAGGGGGCTGGACTTTTCCTGTGACTGCTCCTGTCTATCTCAGCCCACCTGAAGTAGATGCCAAATCAGCCAGGTATAAAACACTGCCTCTCTCTGAGGGCAGTGTCAGTTCATTGACTTTGGTTCCTATATTTGTGTTCTTGATTCAGTGTTCTCCAGACGGCTCCTGACCTTAGTTTATCTTATTGTTACGGTTGACCCCAGGCTGGCTGAGGGTTGGACAGCTTAGATATCCTGATTCCCGATCCTGGAGAGTAATAACGAAGTTCCAAACATCATTCAGCGATAATCCGGAAAGTGTGAAGACATCCAGCTAGCTATAGATAGCTAGTATAAAGCATTTCCCTACAACACGAGTCGAGGCTGCGAGTTGAGGGTAAGGAGACTGATTTATTTATTGGCAATGCACTGTTTAAATACACATTTTCAGGCCAGAGGAACACCCCTCTGGACCTGATGGTACACATGGTGACAAAGAGCAGCAGCCAATAAGGAGAAAGTGCATTCTTTCAAATCCTCCCCTTTAGCCTGGAGATAATTAGTCCCAACGGTTACAGTAATTCAATTCAATCTCCAGGTACATGCAATATTGTAACTTTTAGACATACAAGAAAATTGAATAAAAATATGTAACTTTTACACCATGACTTTTACTTGTCACATTCAACCTATCCCCAGACAGCTGGGATCTGAGCTGTCTAATATACGAAAAGCGCTCAGATCTCATGAATGGTATGGGAATGCCATGTGGGTAAAGATTGTCCTGAAGGCTGTTTGGCAGTTATTAGTCCATGACCCCCCGGTCATAGTGTCCTGCAAGGAGTCGGTATACTCTAGGTAGTTTTAAAATACCGAACGGCACTCTCTTTGGTATTTTATGTACATAACGGACGGAGGTTGAGAAGTTCCAGCGGGGTTCGCATGAAATGATAGCTGAAAAGAGTACCAGGCGTTTGACGACCAGGTTCCGCTGGGCGTTCGACAGTCAAAGATGGCCCCGCCATGTGTTCATACATACGAACGACGACCACCCTGTCGATAGGCAATTAGGCTGCGGTTAACCACAAAATCGCAGCTTGTGGGTGGTTAACCAGGGGCATACTCCTCAGGTAGGGTGTCGATCGTTCGACAGCTGATTCAGTAGTTGGTTTGACACTCATACGAATGGCGCCCACCCCGTCGATGGGCAATTAGGCTGCGGTTAACCAAAAAAATGCAGCTTCTGGGTGCTTAACCGGGGACACACTCCTCAGCCAGGGGGTCAGCCGTTCGACAGTTTGTTCGGTATTGTGAGAGGTGAACGGGGTTAAGTGGCAGCACACGCCAAGGGCCGGGTGGTCGGTCATTCGTACATACGAATGACCTGTAATAGTTTTTCAGTAAATAAGCAACAAAGTAACAAAATTAGTAAGATTGTAGCAGACAGAGGGGACTTTGTAACACTTATTGTTTATCCTGACCCCTGGCATCCTCTGACTTTGGCTTATCCTCGACAATCCTCCTGCTTGTGTCCTTGCCTGTACTGCAACTTAGAGCTATATCCTGCACAGCCCCCGTGCACTGACTCACAGCCCAGGTGGCTTCTTACCAGGTCACCTTGGTCTGTGTTTATTTGCAAGGGTGAGCATATAACTTCCCTTAAATATGCCATGGAGTCAATGGGAAGCGTAGTACGTTTTGCAATTTTTGTTTCTCAGCCGCATCTATTTTGGGGGTTGCAGTCCAAGTTTTGCAATCCTTGGAGGCGAAGGGGTAAATTCTTGGATTCTTATTTTTTAGTGTAACATTCTTCTCTGATCAGGCGCATTCATTAAGGATCAAATCCTTGATAGAAGGATGCACTGGAAATGAGGGTTTGGAAGATCTGAGGTCTTCTAAATATTTGTCGGATTCTTGGGATTCTGTCTTTTCTTGCTGTAATTTTAGGGTATTCCTTATTAGGATAAATAGATAAGCTTCTCAACAGATTTGGAGTCTAAGGGTTTAGGGCCATACTCCGTATCCTCCTCCTCTTTGGCATAAATATCCTCGAAGGAGTCCAGCTCAGATTCAGATGAGGGAGAAGAGGATTCAGCGGTATGACGTTTTCGAGAATAGGTGTGTTTTGTAGAAGCCTGAAGCCTTCAGCTATGGCTTGGGATATCCAGGTTTTTAGTTCTTCTTGAGGGGAAGTTCTTCTTTTCCTTGGCTGGATGTCTGCCACTTCTGATATACAGGTGAGGCATATGTTTTTACCCTCTAGAGCAGTCTTGTTGCAGGCAAAGCAGTGATTGGATTTTTTTCCTTATGTTTCTGGGGGATCTATCCTCACTCATGCTTGGGCTGCAAAATAAGAAGGGCCATGTAAGTAACTATGTAGCCCGTTTGGCACTCTTTCAATTCCCTTATATACATAAAAACATTGGCTCACCTATGTTTCTTTGAACCTGAGCTATGAGAGGCAGAGGGAGAAGACCTTTATAAAAAGGAATAAAGGTTGTGAAGTGAGAAGACTGTTATTCCCGGGAATTTATTTATAATCTATGACTATTAAGAAATTGGAAGATAAGAATATAGTCTTGCCTTAAGTCGAGTAAGAAAATACCCAGTCAGTACTGAAGATAATTCTTTAGGAACAGAAGCGCTTGTCACTTTAAGATTCTTTAGGAAACCTGTAACTTTAAGAGAGGAAATTTGCGCATACGCAGACTGTTCGGGAGAACGCTGAGCCATTCGCGCCCTCTCTCTAGTTCAGTTCGCGCCAAACTGAGTGAACAGGTATAAACGAACTGAAGCTAGCCGGGGAATCCCTTTGAATGCAAAATTAGACGAACAGACAGGGAAACAAGTGAACATCAAACTCCCGAACAAGGAATTCCGCCGACCCGTGAGTACAAGAAATGAGGAAAAGGTAGAAATAGGAGAAAAAACTCCAGAATGAAGAGGAAAAAGGTCTATCTCCAAGATTGCCTCAAGGTTCAGTAGGGGGAATATGTAAGGCTTCTGAATTTCCAATTGAGCCATAGTCATCAGCATGTTGTATGTTCATCCACATGGCAGATTCAAATAACTAATTTGAATCTGACCCAACTAGTCCTGCTCACGCAGGCTGTTTACTGGGTCATTCAGGCACAGCGAGGCTGAACTGTGCCTGGGAGACCTATGGTGCACATAGGAAGGTGGTCAAAAAGAAAATAGTGTACATTTAAAGCTGTCTTGTCCGGTTAAGGACAGAAAAACAGACTGAGTTTTGGAAGGAGGAGGGACCTTTTATGCCTCTAGCCTCGTTCTCTCTCTCTCTTTCTCTCTCTCTCTCTCTCTTTTTTTTTAAATTGGTTTAATCTTTCCTGATCTAGTTAGGGGCCGAGTTTCCCATTAGTGATTCTGCCATGATTAGCCAGGAAATTCTGATTTTAACAGATTATTTTGCAAAATAAAACGTGCAGACCTCGTTAATAAAAACGTCCAAGTGAAAAAGAAAAAAAGAAAAGAAAAAAGAATTCTTGCTAATAGAGATTTACAGCTTATGATCAACCATATTGTGACATGATTAAATCCTTTAGTAGTATAGTATGAGATGGAAGTTACACAGATTTTTTTTTTTGATTTTTTTTTAAAGAAAACTCTAAACTCCAATGCCAATAGACCACATTAGTTTGATTTTAATAGGAAATTGATTTTTTTATTGATTTGTTTTTAATTTTAAATGCAAGACTTGCTGACCTTATGGAAGACCATCAGGAGGAGCTAGCAACGATCGAGGCCATAGATTCAGGAGCAGTGTATACACTGGCACTAAAGACCCACGTGGGAATGTCAGTACAAACCTTTAGATACTTCGCTGGTTGGTGCGACAAAATTCAGGTAAGATGCTTCCTCATTAATATATCCCATTACATAAACATTACACGTTATTTCTTTATTATTTTATATGTATTGTTACATACTTAATCAGTTATTGATCACCAGTATTTTTATGCAGCTGTTTTTATATGTGTATACAAGGGAACACATATGCAAATATACTTATATGGTAATTTATTTACATTTTTTATAGATATTTTATGGATTATAAGAGAAAATATATTCCTCCCTACCATAATTTTCTTTTCCTGGCCATAGGGCATGGCAGCACAACAATGGTTAGCTGTATTACTGTCAGAATCACATTAATTACAACTTCTATCTGTATGCTGTGTTAGCAGGATTTGTAGCAAAATGTATATATTGGAAGAAAAACATATTTTATAAGAGTTATTTCTTTCACCTGTCATTCAATCAGCTCTATGGCATAAATTTCTGTTACAGGGAGAGACACAGGCGAAGGTGTATCCACCCCCAACCTGCAAAAAAATGCATCTTCACCTGTGTTTCTTTTAACCCCCCCACCCCCCTTTGAATTTTTTGCTCAGTTTTGTATTTTTTTTACCCCCTCTTTTGATTGTCTTATCCGCTTTGGTGTATCTTATCCCCCATTTTTCCCTTTTGTGTGTCTTATGTGTATCTCTTTCTTCCTCCAAGCACCTTTGTGTATATTTTTACCAGTCTCCTATCCCTCAGTTTGTCTTTTACCCTTAGCCCCTTTTGTATGTCTCTTAGCCCAAGCCCCTTTGTCTTTTTCTACCTTTCCCCAGCCCTGCCTCTCTGTGTGTCTCTGCCCCCCAGCCACTTTAGGTTTCTCTCTTTTTTTTTGTTGTCAATCTTTATTTTTGAAGTGCAGAGTAAAGTACATAAAACATTACTGATGTATGACATGACAGATATTGTACATGCGAAAGATAAGAAGTCAAGGTATACTGCACTTTTTTTTTTAAAGAAAAAACAGGAGGAATGCATAAGCAAGAATACATGACGGAATTAATTACTTTAAGGAAAAAGCAAGACAAAGGCACAGAGTAATGATAAAACAGCTTTAAAGGATCACTATAGTGTCAGGAAAACAAAGTGGTTTTCCTGATACTATAGTGCCCTGAGGGTTCCCCCACCCTCAGGGTTCCCCTCCCGAGTGGAGCGTAAATGCTTTCCTATGGACGCTCTGTGCGATGGATGGGAAATTCGCATCCAGCGTCGAAGATGCGCCTCTAGCGGCTATACGGAAGACAGCCACTAGAGGCTATGTTTATATCTGAAGAGTTAAAACCTGAGGGACCTGGCACCCTGACCACTTAATTGAGCTGAAGTGGTCTATGTGACTATAGTGTCCCTTTAACTGAATAGATATGCTAGCCTATGTAGCAAGTTTTAAACCTTTCGAGATGGTAGGCGCCTTTTAGGGTGGGCGATCCTCCGCTTGTGTGGTAGATTCCCGGAGGCTACGCCTCGGTGGGCTCTTGGCCTAGGTAGGCGGACTGTAGAGTGTTGTGGCACTTGTGTGGTGGCAATGCCTTGAGGGTTTCCCCTCTGTCCAGGCAGCTCTCCCCTCTCGATAACCTTCAATCGCCCAGATTGGGTTGCTTGTGCACGGGTCTGTAGCTTTAGCCAGAAGTCCTGGAATATCACATTCAGCCTCTGCGGGATAGATTCCAAGGGGTCATAGTGAGGTATGAGTGGTGGAGGCATGTTTCACTTGGGCAGTATGACAGCCGCCATCTTGGATTCTCAGTTTGAGCGATTTGAGCCCTGTGCAGGCGATATGGATTGCTTGTGCCTTGCCTGACAGTCCTGACCGTGTTACTTCCTCCCCCAGCCCATCTGTGTTTGTCTTTTTCACTCCCAAGACCCTTTAGTGTGTTTATTGCTCTTCCACCCCCTAGCTTTGTACATCCTCAGGCCCAGTGAGTACTTCCTGTCAAACCAGGTATAGGATACAGAAGATCCTCTACCTGCACTTCTCTCGGCTACGCTACATGTAGCGACCGGCAGGAGGGGAGTGCTCCTCCTGCCAGTCACCCGGCGATTGTGTGTCTCTAAATAGATAACTTGATATTTCTTTTCTTTTTTATTAGGGTTCTACAATACCAATAAACCAGGCTCGTCCAAACCGCAATTTGACGTTTACTAAAAAGGAGCCACTTGGGTTAGTAAGTTTCTGTAATAGAGAATTCCCTCTTTGATTCCTAGTGATTAGTCACTGCTAATGTTAAAACCCGCTGTCCTCTATTTTCAGAGTCTGTGCTATTGTCATTCCTTGGAATTACCCTCTGATGATGCTGGCTTGGAAAAGCGCAGCCTGTTTAGCTGCAGGAAACACGTTGGTTCTGAAACCGGCACAGGTACCTTTTATTTATTTAAAATACATATTAAGGTGCTGTGCGCACACACACACACAAAAAAACTGTTTTAAATTTGACAAGGACACTTAATATTACCTACCCTAGCAAACAAATATGGGGATTCAGTTACACAATATGGCCATATTGTGTTAAGCCCACCACTACGTCACAGCACACAAATATCAATGGGTCCTACACTAGTTTTAATTTAGGAAATTAACATGCGAACTACAATACTCACTGCTTCCATAGGTATTAAGATGTGGGGAACATATTATAGGCAAAACCAAGCAATGAAAAGCCTTGCGTTCTTAAAGAAATCTTATATTGCCTACTTCAGTGAGTAGATAGCACATACCCCAATTTAATATTCTATGTCAAGCCCTGTGAAGTTATAATCCACCTCCAATTAATGCCAGACTTTAACTAGATTTCAAAAGTGTATTTGATTGGTTGTGTTTTTTTCCAAGGTATAATCTTTATTTATCTGCACTAAGCCTTGTTAAATAATCTCAGACCTAGGAGACAGCAATTCAAATTTTTAAGGAAATCATGTTTTTTATCCCGTTTGTGACGGACCGCCTGGCACCCTGACCAGGTACCTCCGTCGATCGCTGCTTCCTAGTAATCCTTGAGTACCATAAGTACCGCACCAGACACCATAACCATCGTAAACCCCACAAACTGCCGCAGCTTGGTTGGGGTATCGCTGTCCTCCACCCATGCTGGACCCAAGACCAGGATCCAGCTTCCAGTGGGTAGACCTTTCCTAGTCCAGAGATCAGAGCAGGCTGCTCTTACAAGAGCAATCGTTATAATCCAAGGGAGTATTGTGATTATAGCAATCCCCAGAGTGAATATAGCTCTCCAATCCACCAAACATGAGCCTAGACTTCATGAAGGGTGAAACAAATCTGTTTAATGGCAGCCACAACTGGCCTTATATGCAGGTCCCCATGCAAGGGGAGAGTAGACTACAGTAAAAACATACACATGATTACTTTGGCTCTCAGGTCCAGGACACTCCCATACAAAATAGGTCAATCCCTCCCCTGTGCCAGCACAGTATTAAACTCAAATATCTCCAGGCACAGAAAACATACATTTTTACAAAAAAACAAAAATACCTTTTAAACACACAAAATCCCCACAAACGTTACATCCCCTGATAGCCCCGATCTGGGGGACCAACATATCCAAAAATAACCCCGATCGGTTCAGAAATTTCCTGGAAGTCATAATTTGACCGACCGCACGCATGGTCCCATGCCAAAAATAGTTCCATAGAATCGTGGCTAAGTGCCGCTGGGCACCGACCGGGAACCGCAAAGTCTTCATGCCAAAAATAGTTCCAAAGCATTTGCGGCTAAGTCCCCCTGAAGTCTATTTGCAGTTTTGGTCCATGCGAACAGCCGCCAGGGAGCTAGCATTCAGTACTATGAGCATGAATGAAAAGTGCCGAACCAGAGAAACCAGAGGGAATAAAATATGGGTCTTTACAGTTGCTGACCTGGCCCATAGTCGGTGGGCAGGAGGCCAGCTTCCACACTCCTCCAGGGGTTCGTGGGAAACGTCTGGGAAAAGCGGCATTTGTCACACGGTTCTAACCATATTATGTCATCCTTTGCAGTACATTTATTACCTAACTAGATGCATTATTTATTTTTGACAATGTTTACAAAGTATGACGTCATACCATGCCCTCTACAGATGCAGAGATTATTAGAAATTCCTGAAGTGTGTATGTAGGAATTTAAAGGATTTGGTTTTGAACGCATTTTGTATATCTCTTAGGTCACCCCTCTGACAGCTCTAAAGTTTGCAGAACTGGCAGTAAAAGCTGGTGTACCCAAGGGTGTGATCAATATCCTGCCAGGATCAGGTAATGGGTGCTATTTGGTACCACCACATTCTAACCACAGACCTATATACAATGTAAAATAATCGATAAGGAATGTAGGATTGCTGTGTTTTTCATTGCAAAGGTTAATATTTGGCAGCATATTCAGATTATTTCATTATTTAATTAACTTTGGCACACATCAGAGTATTCCCTGTCAGAGTATGCTTACTTTGCTGGGACTGTTATATTCATTCAATTTTTTTGGACTTGTGTAGGTGGTCTTGTAGGACAACGTCTGTCTGAACATCCAGATATTCGCAAACTTGGTTTCACTGGTTCTACGCCAATCGGTAAACAGATCATGAAAAGGTATATAGCAATTATGATTGATATACAATATCCTGTTGCATACTAAAATCCAGTGTTGTGACATGTTACTACTGTCATATTCTCGAACCCACAATCCGGACGCACACCTGCAGGACTTCTTCAGGGCTGTCCTCCCTTAAGAAATGCCCAAGCATGCCACATTTGAATCTCACCAACTCTGCAGCCCTTTAAAAATCTTTAAAAACACACTTCTTTAGAAAAGCCTATTATCTCACACCTTAACTCCTCATCCATGACAAGCTTGCTGCGTTATCTTATCTCCAAACCACTGTGCATCTTCCTCGGATAAATTTTTAATGATTTATTTTTCTAAATATTTAAATATCAAACATATATTACGAAAAATATATCTATCTATATATAGATATATATATATATTTTACAATTATTATTTTTATATGAAATAATATTAAATCATTGGATTATATTTTTATTCAAAAATATATCATTTAAAAATATTAAATTGAGTCCATAATGTGCAGTAATGTGGAACACAATGAGGGTTCAAATAATATCTATTCAGATAAACAGCAACATCCACTCCAATTGCATGCAGTCACTGGTATTACACATTATTCTGACCTTATTTACACCTAATTTGATTCACTGGCTCAAGCACACAGAGAATGGTTTATACTCAGTGAAAGGTAATTGGACTGGATTTTGTTTTCAGAGATACATTTATCTTCGGTAATTGAAAAACATTTTCCTATCATTTGCAACAGCCGTTTAATGATAAATTATTGATACAATTTATCCCAGATAACACATTCCAGTTTTGTGTTAGCAGATAAACTCCAGGACAAACAAGCTTTGTAGGCACTCACTACACAAATCCAGTTAAAAGGATACTATAGTGCCAGGAATACAATGCTGCCTCTCCCCCTCCGGTGAATAAAGGGTAAAAAAAACGTTATTTGCTTACCTGATCCCAGTCGCCGATGTCCCTCTGCGTAGGGTCGACGCTCCGCCACCTCTGACTTCCTGTGATGAGCAGGCGCTAATGCGCAGCAGGCACTGGAGGCAGATTTAGAGCTGCAATGTAACATTGCAGTTTCTTTGGAACTTCAATGTTTAACATTGCAGCACTAAGTGCAAAAGGGACACCGCACCATTGAAGTGGTCTGGCTGCCAATGGTGTACCATTAAACAATGCATTGCTTTTCAGTGTTGTCAAAATAAATTTTTCATAATTTTTTTACAAAATTATAGTTTTTTCTATAATGATCCCTACAGTGTGTTGTACTAAATTCTGCAACTATTTAAAACTACTATAGCCCTCGTACCCCAATCAAAACGTTAAATAAGGCTTGGACTCCCCATTATCACCACTAATCATGGAGAATTGATATATGTTTTTCTTGTACCCTCTACCCTCATTGCTTCCTGCCCCTGTCCCAAATGATGGAAATGGATTTTGAAACTTCCATTATCGTAGCTGTTCTTACCTCCTGGTCCATCCTTCCCCTTCCTGTGGATTTTGATGAATTAACCCGGGGATGTTAAATCCCACCCATCTCTTATTGTACTCATTTTAAAATAAATGCCAGTGGATACCCAGTCCCCTGGTTCTCTAACTAACTCAACCCCTGTATGGGATATAGTATGCCAAAATGTTATTGCTTCACTTCACTGTAAGCTGTTTCTGTTTTTATAAAGCTGTGCTGTCAGCAATCTGAAAAAGGTTTCTTTGGAACTTGGTGGAAAATCTCCTCTTATCATCTTTAATGACTGCGACCTTGACAAAGCAGTTAGAATGGTAAGATCTCTTTAACAGATCTACACACACAGTATAGATGGAATAATGACAGCAATTACAAACATGGCGTATAATATATCATAAAAAAGAATTGGTTGTAAAGACATAGCCATTGCATTATTCTGCTGAGCATTGCACTGGCTATGCTCTCTTCCATCAAAATGTTTAGAAATGTAGGACTTAATACTCTTTGTATAATCACACAGATTTTATAGGATTTTGTGGCAATCACACTGTTGAATAATTCTGTACTCTGCCTTTGTGTTTTTACATTCAAGATGCATTATCTTGCACTTATCCACATTAAATGTCAGTTGCCACAATTCTGACCATTTTTCTAGTTTACCTAAATCATTTGCCATTTGGCTTATCCCTCCTGGAACATCAACCCTGTTACATATCTTAGTATCATCAGCAAAAAGACATACCTTACCATCAAGACCTTCTGCAATATCACTAATAAAAATATTAAAGAGAATGGGTCCAAGTACAGATCTCTGAGGTTCCCCCACTAGTGACAAGACCATGCTTTGAATATACTCCATTGACTATAACCCTCTGTTGCCTGTCACTCAGCCATTGCCTTACCCATTCAACAATATTGGAATCCACACTTAAAGATTGCAGTTTATTGATAAGCTTTCTATGTGCAACAGTGTCAAAAGCCTTACTGACAGCAATGTGTACAGGTCTATGTGGTTGCTATCCAAAACATTAGAGGTAGACCAGTTATCATGGAATTCAATGGAATAAATAAGAGCACTTTTTAGATTTCCATGGTCATTGCAGTGGTTTTACAGAATTGCCCCACTTTTCATGTAAAGAGACAATGAGAACCGATTGAGGCTAAAAGAGGCAGAGATGCATTGGAACACTCAATTCTTGAGTCTGTACAATGACCCAACAAATATAATTTAGGATTTTTTATTTCTTATTTTAAGTCTGCAGCACTTACTAGATGCTAAGAGAGAAATATTAATGTATCACACAGCCATAATTCACCTCTTTGACCCGTGTTTGTCCAACATGCAGGGTATGGGAGCTGTGTTCTTCAACAAAGGCGAGAATTGCATTGCCGCTGGCAGACTTTTTGTCGAGGAATCCATACATGATGAATTTGTGAGACGAGTGGTAAGTTCTCTGTTAAGAAAATTCAGAATGTTCATTTACTTTACAGCAAGACGTAAAACACATATAGGTACACAGAGAGATATAAGAACATGTTGTTGTCTAGATCAACAGTCAAGCAATTACACTTTACAGAAGACTCATCTCTACTTTGCAGTAATTGGGCTCCAAAGTGTAACAAACGACATGAATTAGAAAGGAATTTAACAGAATACTGATATTGGATAATAGTCCCTGAAAAGTTAAAAGTAAAAAAAAAAAAAAAAAATGTAATTCTCTAAACCTGTAGATAGATCATAATGAGTCAACCCTGTTCACATTTATACTAATTCATACTATGGCAACATGCAATTTCTGATTAACTAAAAATTAGTCAAAAATGGAAAACGTTAAGTTACTGTAAGCCTCCAAGCAAAAAACCCAGTACGCCATGAAAGAAAACGAACACTGGCTGACAGTGACTCTAAACTGCAGTGAATTAAAAAACAAACAGAAAAACATGGTAACAAAAAATATAAAATTTAGACGAAAATAGATGATTTTTTTTTTTCCAACTTAGCTCTCATCACAGCCTGGCCATTTAACCTCTTCCACCTACAGATAAAACTGAGGAAATAATAAATGGATTCCATTCCAGTATGCATTACACTTTGTAAAAATCACTGATAGTATATGTATGTGAATGAAACCAGAATGTCCTTTTTGCTTGAACACCACTGTAAGTTTGTGGAAAATAACACCTAACAGGAGTTCGTTTAAAGCTGGCACATTCTCACCGCTCCAGGAGGTTCTGAGAAATTATAAGGCGCACATGTGATCAAGTGCTATTTATACACAGTAAATTGGCAGTGATTTAGAATCGTCATAACCATGAAATTCCCATCTGGAGATTTTTTTATTTTTCGTTTTTACTACTATAATGATAATGCATTTTTAAAATACATTTTATTGCAGAAACTTAATCTTTTTGGGAAGCTTAGTATTGAGGAGTCATTTTTCTCCTCAGTAGATACTTCAAAACCCACGTGGAGAATGAATGAGATGACATTTAAAGCTAGTTTTATTAATAGTATAAAGTCACAAACCATATGTAGCTCAAGGAAGCGAACGCTCGCTTGGCATCGAGAAATGCCATTAGAGTAGTAATACTATCTTCTTGTTCCTTTATAAGTTACCTTAAAAATCTTTTTTTTTTTTTTGAATGTCTATCATTTGTGGTTAATTATTTTTGATAGGTGCCTGGAATTAGCTAAGCAACCCATTCATCCACAATATTGTAATATTAAATGTCCAGAAGTTTTTATAATTTCAAATTTAAGGCAAATACAGGTAAACGGAATAAAAACAACTCTGTTTTTAGTTTTGGTTTGGATATATTATACTCATGTGTGACATGTTCTTTGCATTCAGTTTTAAAGGGACACTGTAGTCACCCAGACCACTTCAGTTCATTGAAATAGTCTGGGCGCAGTATCCCTTTTGCACTTAGTGCTGCAATGTAAAACATTGCAGATCCATAGAAACTGCAATGTTTGCATTGCATCTCTTAGTCTGCCCTCAGTGGCTGTCTCCCAGACAGCCACTAGAGGGCTTCCTGAATTTAAACGGACTTTTGCTCTGGTATCTGACGCTGGACATCCTCATGCTCTGCATGAAGACACCCAGCGTCAGATTTTTCCCCGTAGAAAAGCATTGAATTAAGGAGGTCTAATGTGCCAGCTGCATTTTCCAGGCATGTGCATTTGAAGGGGGTGGAGCGTCGACTCAGCGCATAGTGACATCATCGCTGCAGCAAGATAAGTAAATAAAGGGACTGGGAAGGCAGGGGGAGCGGTAGTTCCAAGAATACAGCTTTTTTTTCCCTGCCACTACAGTATTCCATTAATGACAATTCACATATTAGTAAATAATAATTTTATTTAAAACCCTAATTGTGTTTTATATGATGCTCTGGTGAAGTTGTTAAATCGGCACTGTTACAATCTGAGAGTTTTTCCTAATTTGCAAAAAAGACCCTCAATGGTGACATTGCCTCTGGGGGTTTGGTGGCCGGGGGTGGCAAAAGATTTGTTCTACTTACGCGAACCTGTCCCTTGCGGGCACCACCATCTTTTTTTTGGTGGGTCCCTTTTCAGCCAATGTCACTGCTGTCCTCTCTCGCACACGCATGCGAGGTCTATGGAGGATCCTGCAAGACCGCAGGATACCCCAAAAAGAATAGCCAATTCCCTGCAGCCGTCATTGGTGAATTGGGGAACTGACAATTCTTGACGGCGGTAGTGTCTAGAAGTGTCAGGTGTAGGAGAAATACTGAGACAAAGTCAGTTACCCTGTTTGTAACATAAAACTACAACATCCAGGTTGGTTTTCAATATAAATTTTACAACCTCCGAATTCTAAAGTTGGCAGTTCATGTTAACCCTACTGGTTGGTTGGGTGGTTGATTGAATGATTGATTAGCAGTTCCTTTATAAATGAAAGTAAGCAGCATTATAATATCTGTTTTTTTCCAAGGTAAATATGACTAATGACTTGCAGACATGCATAATGCGTACTGGAATGGAATCCACTTATTATATCCTCAGTTTTATCTGTAGGTGGAAGAGATTAAGAAGATGAGGATTGGTGATCCTTTGGAGAGGTCTACAGACCACGGGCCACAGAACCACAGAGCCCACTTGGAAAAACTGCTGGAATATTGTGAAACTGGAGTGAAAGAAGGGGCCACACTGGTGTATGGGGCCAAACAAGTACCTCGACCAGGTATCCTTGCATTATCCCACTGCTTAGTTATAGTTAAACCAGTGTCCATGAATATGCGGTATTATATACTACGAAGCAGCATCTCGTTGAGCTCCATGTTATTTCCACACTGTTTCAGCACTCAGTGTGCCATAAGTCCCACCATTGCAGCTATATAGAGCCACAGAAACTGTACCCTGCCTGGCTGAGAATAATGGTAACTGCAGTCCTCATTCGTTAATAAATGTATACAATATGAGTATACAATTTACACCACAACAAAATAACATACAAAATATATACAGGGAATACGCTGTTTCTGAAACACAAATATACTTAACTTAGTGTAATACAGTATATAAATAGGCACCAAATCTATTGAACTCACAAGATTTAGAAGTTATGAATCAGCATAAAACATCTCTCCTTTAAACTAGGAATCGCAAATAACAGAGCATGAAAATTCTTTTGATTTGGCTATATTGTCCTAAATAATGCAATTCTACTATCAATTCTCTACAAATCCAAATGTATTAATAAACACCTAATAGATTTCAGGAAAAACTTTCAATGGTGATAAAAGCACAGAAAGTTGTTTGTCAGTGTGTGTTCTCGATACTCTTTGTAGACAACGTAGGATCTCAGACTCTCTCTTCCTTTAACCCCTTAAGGACACATGACATGTGTGACATGTCATGATTCCCTTTTATTCCAGAAGTTTGGTCCTTAAGGGGTTAAAAAAACTGATTACTCTCACAGTGATTCTGAATAAACCAATGCTGCTTTTTAAAGTGTAAACAGGAGGCGGATATGTATATGTGACCTTCACCCAGAGAGCAAGGTGTGTGTGACACAGAGGGGCAGCGTATAGGAGAACGTGTTAGCCAGAGAGCAGGGGATCTAATGTGATTCTGTGACATTAAGCCAGGCAGTATTCTATACGAGTAACATTCAGACAGTGTATGTTAATAATGCAAAGCCAGCGAACAAAGGAGAAATATCTGTGTCACTTTCAGCCAGAGTGCAGTGTGGGAACATAAAGCAGTGAAAATAGATGGGGTAAGCAATGTGCAGCCAAGAAAGCCATGTGCATGGGCGAAATTCAGTCACTGAGCACTTAGCAATACGTTCTTGGCCAGTAGCCATTAATGATCTCACTGCAAACTGTGCAATTTAACTTCCACAGGATTCTTTATGGAACCAACCGTATTCACCAATGTTGAAGATCACATGTATCTTGCAGAAGAAGAGTCCTTCGGTCCCATAATGGTTATTTCAAAGTTTAAAGATGGGTATGTTACAGTAAAATCATCTTTGTGGTTCAGCCAGCAAGTAGGCCCATAGCTGTTTTAAAACGACATGTCCCATGATGCTTTGCTAAACGTTGGAAGCGTTTATCTGCTATACAATTGCTTTAGATTTAGTCATTTGCTGTACCCTGGATTTTCTTTCTGATTTTTGAAGACATTTTCTCCTTTAATATAAAAACATTGTAAATCTATTTGTACAAAAAAAATATTTTGAGCATTGAAAAGACAATTTGCAAACCATAAACATTAAAAACTTGGCTATAGTTGAAAATGAGAGAAATCTCAATGTATCCTTCCTGGTAAGATATTTTATAAATAAATAAATGTATTTTCATATTTAAAAAACTGAATTTTAACTATATCCATGATAGCTGTGGCTAGCCTACAATATTATTGTGTATATACTGTCATCTGGTGGCCAGGCAAGATATTACACACACAAAAAATATATGCTTGTATTTTTGTTGTTTGCCCATTCCCCTACATTATTTACTGTTAAATGTTTAAGTGCAACTTTTGCTAAAAAGGCTGATTGACGTTTTATATAGTGCTTTTTAAGGGGTTACTCCAAGAACCATGACCAGTTAAGTTATTTGAAGTGGTCATGGTGCCTGGAGTCTGTCTCTATGCGCTAGCTTTCACTATGAAATGCTGCACATACAGAATTTAACCCCTTTGCCGCCGCTGGTGTAACTCTACCTCTGGCAGCATCCATTGGGGCATGATTAGCTAGCCCGGAACAAGAGTTCAGGGCTGGCTTATGTGAATTCTGTGCATATTAGTGTCTGACGTCAGCACGTATCCCTCCCATGCTGCCCATGTCCTGTCCTCTCCTACATCCCTCCCCTGCCAGCAAGGGGCTGGAGGAATGGAGGTATGGAGGTAAATTGTAGATTTTTTAAAAAAAAATTTAAATGTTGGGGGTGTTGTAGAATTATTAGGCCTCTATAAATTTGTAAGGCCCCTTTAAATCCTCTTGCTATACCTCTAAGAGGCCCCCATAGTTTTACAAGGAAGCTTTGTCTATAGAACATAGAATTTGCATGTCAGCAAGAAATAGCTTTGATAAAATGTGTATTTACTAAAATCCTTGAAACTTAACCTTGAGAAACTAACAAGTGCCAGCTACGCTCCAAATGGATAGCTGCCAAAAGGCCCCTCCCGTCGAGTGAGCTCCTCATTTTAACAAGATGGCGCTAAAACCTGTAGGAGTTAAGAAATTACGTAGATAGTGACCTAAGAATGGGGAGGGCATTTTACTAACATCTTAGCACCTAAGCCAATTAACAATGTCTATTTGTCTATATCTTGATTTTCTTCAATGATGTAATAATGCCTTTATAAGGGTCTGCGCACCCATTTTCTGGCAGAAGCCATTAAACTTCTCTGAAGTTCTTTCATTACCCTGAACCTTGTGTCTCAGTGTGAATTTACTTCTGCGTGCACGCAACTTTATTATCTTTAATTTGGACAGGAACAGATAGTCATTCAAACTAATTGGTTTGCAGTAAATTATCTAGAACAAGGGGACCAGGATAGGAAAAGATACTCTAACAGAAAACTGTGTCAAGTGTTTGTCAAATATTGTTTCTGTAATTACCAAGAACAAACTTGGTAGAAATGATAAATTACAGTGACAAACCGCAAAACATCCTATAACTCAATTATCAGGCCCTGTTCAGGTCTGTTACCTTTTATCGAGGACTCATTCAGGATCTGTGCACTTTTTACCTACTGCCAGTTTAAAGCTAAAATATGGTCTTTGTTCCAGAGCAGTCAATAAACGCACTAGAAAGGATTCCATACACTCACTATTCATTTTACTAAAGGTCCCTCTGAGTTCAGTTTAATGGGGATTCAGGCATGCATTGCAGCTCGGTGGGAATTGGGAAGATTCAATTTTAGTTCATGTTGAGAAGCTCTGGTACTCTCAGACACCTTGGGGTAGATTTCAAATTGTTTCCAACAGAAAGGTACAAAAGCTCAAAGGGTGGACCAGTAACAATGGAAACAAATGCAATCAGAAGGAACATTACAATTGGTTTCCACGGCAACTGCTAAAACATTTGACCTTAAGTTTGAAATTAATTTTGAATTCAAACTTTAGTAAAGTACCAGCATACGTTTTGGCTAATTTGGCCCTAAATTTGAAATTCACTTTCAATTCCTTTGAAGAACCCTGACAATTTAACAAATGACTTAGTGACGTCTCATGTGTTTGCTCAATCAGCTTATAGTTTAGTTTGCCCTCTTAGCTTGTCCTTTTAGGCACCGGATCCCCTCGCTATGCAGATTTATGACATGTGTCAGATGACTGTTTTCAGCCAATTGCACAAAATGGATGCTGTGTTGCACACACTGACTCCAGGCACCATGACAACCTCAAATCACTTTTGTGGTCATGTTGTTTGAAATTATCCTTAAAATAAATACATTTCAGACCTACAAATGTTCAATAAATTCTTACAAGTCATGGATGTAACTCATTTACTTCACTACATTGAAATATGCAAATATTGCTGTTCGTGACAGACCTATTTTTGTTTGAAGCTCAACATGTTGATATTATTTTATGCAGAGACATCGATGGAGTGTTGGAACGAGCCAATAGAACAGAATATGGACTAGCATCCGGCGTCTTTACACGAGACATAAGTAAGGCCATGTATATCAGCGACAAACTTGATGCTGGAACGGTTTTTATTAACACCTACAACAAGACAGATGTTGCTGCGCCGTTTGGAGGCTTCAAACAATCTGGATTTGGCAAAGACTTAGGTAATTATATAGAATATTTATGGGGTTTATTTATAAAGAGCAAATTTAAGGTAGGATTATAAAGTGGAACAATTAGGAATTACATTCAGTTTCCATGGTGACTGCTCACTTGCAGAGATTTGGCTCACAATTGCTCTTTGCATATCTCCTTCAATGACTAGTGATGCGTCAGTCAATATATCTAATACTCCACTTCTAGAGCTAAAATGTAAAATACTCTGTCCAAGACTACTGCATCTGGCAAATTGTCTGTATGTCACTTTCAGGGCTATTACCTAAAATGTGAATTGAGAGCAACTGACAAGAATTTTTTAGTTTTAGGACAAAATAGTCCTAAAGTGGGAAATAATAGAGAAAATTTATAACAAACTTACTGTAATTTTCTTTTCCTGGCTATTTCTCATGGTAGCATCACTTATGGGTAGCTCCTCCCTTAACAGTCACAGGACAGGAATTAATTAGACTGATGGGTATAAAGAGTCCCTCCTACCCCTACACCACAGTCCAATTATAAAGCTGAAAATTAAAAGAAAGGGCTGGAACCCTGATGCTGCCATGAGAAATAGCCAGGAAAAGAAAATAACGGTAAATTTGTTATAAATTTTCTCTATTCCTGGCTAATCATGGCAGCATCACTTATGAGTAATACCCATGCTCACAGAATTATAGGGTGGGAATAATAAACCTAGAAAAGACACTGAACAGACTTTTATGCTGCAAAGAAATGTAATATCAACGGGATAAATAAACCGTAGACAGGACACTCTTCCCAAAGGAGGTGGAAGGAGAGTCCACATCCAGTTTGTAGTGTTTCAAGAACGTCATCGGGGAAGACCAGGTGGCTGCCCTGCAAATATCATCGTATGGAACCTCTGCCCAATTAGCCCATGAAGTCGACAATGCTCCAGTAGAATGAGTTCTTATCTTCATTGGAGGAGATCGACCTTTAGAGATATATGCTTTCCTGATTACCAGTGAAATCCAACGTTTTAATGTAGATAAAGAAGCCGCCTCACCTCTCCTGGTTCCCGACGGTAAAACGAAGAGTTAGTCAGTTTTTCGGTAAGACTCAGAACACTTAAGGTATATGGACAGGCAGTTCATGACATCCAAACGTTGCCATCTAACCTCCTCTGGCGAAGAAGGATTGGGGTAGAACGATGGAAGGACCACTTCTTGAGAGAGATGAAACTGAGAGACCACTTTAGGAAGAAACTCAGGTTTTGGTTTCAGACACACCCTATCCTGATACAATTGTAAACAAGAAGATAAGGTAGAAAATGCTTTAATCTCCGAAATTCTTCTTGTGGAAGTAATTGCCACCAAAAACAAAGTTTTATACGTCAGGAGGGTAGCATCCAAACTCTCAAGTTTCTCTCTGAACCATAAGAGTGCTGAGGCTAAGGCCCTTATCCAGACCCAATTGCAGGAACTCCAAGATCTCAGTATTGTGAGGATGCAGGAAGTCAACATTTTTGGCCGAAGCACATTCCCGGAACACATCCCAGATCCTATGGTAGCATAGCATGGTAGAAGTTTTCCTTGATTGCAAAAGGGTATTGACCACTGCTTCTGAGAGACCTAGTAGTTGAAGTCTTTCTTTTTCAAGACCCATATCCCCAATTTGAGGCGTTCCAGATGAGGATGAAATATTGGGCCCTGCGTTAGCAGATCCTCCGTAGCAGGAAGAGGCCAAGGCTGTTCTTGGCTCATCATAGCCAATAGGGGGAACCACGGCCTCCGAGGCCAAATCGGAATTATGGCAATAACCTTCTTGCCTTCCGACCAAACCTTCCGCAGGAACCTGGGTATCATGGGTAGGGGAGGGAACGCAGATCGAATGACCAAGGAAGAGAGAGAGCATCCTGGCCCATTGCCTGACTGTCCGGGTGGAGGGAGAAGTAATTCTCTACCTGATGATTCTGGGAGGACGCCACCAGGTCGATCTGGGGTATGCCCCACCAATGGGCAATCCATGCAAAGACTGCCGGGTGAAGTTTCCATTCTCCCGGAAGAGTTTCCATCCTGCTGAGGAAGTCTGCGGTCACGTTCTCCGAACCTGGAAGATCGCCTTCAGACCCTGGAGATTGGTCATGGCGATTGTCATCAAGGGAGCTAGCTCCGTCAAGAGCAATCTGCTTCTTGTGCCACCTTGGTTGTTCACATATGAAGAAACCGCTCGGTTGTCTGTTTTGATCAGTACCCAAGAATTTATGATCCTTGGTAGGAACACCAAGATGGCCTTGGAAAACGCTCTCAGTTCTCTTAGATTTGAGTGTAGCTGACTCTCTTCTCGGGTCCATTTCCCTTGAGTCCATGTGGAATTGAAGTGGGCATCCCATCCAAAAGAACTGGCATCTGTTGTAGTAACCTTCCAAGGAGGTTCCTCCAACGGGAAGCCTGCTGCCAAATTCTTCTTGTTCTTCCACCAGTTCTACCCATTCCTCACGGGCAGGGGTAGAGAGATCCTTTGCTCCCAATCTGATCCCACTCTGTCGAACTGGAGAAGGAAGCAATTCTGGAACGGACGAAACTTCCACCGGGCCCATTTTAGTAACCCTACAGTTGATGTCAAAGAACCCAGGAGACTCGTGACTTCTCTTGCAGAGGCAGTCTCGAGCCCTTGTAGCTTCCCTACTTTGTCTCTGATTTTTGTGACCCTTTCCGGAGACAGGAACTCATGGGCAGATACAGTGTTTATCACTGCTCCGAGGAATACGATCGTCTGAGAAGGAATCAGGGAGCTTTTTTCCACGTTCAGAAGCCAACCGTGGTCTTGAAGGATGTTCATAGCCACCAACGTGTGATGAGCTACTATCCTTTGAGATGGACCTATGATAATGATGTCGTCCAAGTAATGGAAGATCTCGATACCTTTTTCCCTTATGAAGGCCATCAAAGTAACAAGAACTTTCAAAAATGTTCTTGGCGCCAAGCTGAGGCAAAAAGGTAGTCCCCGCGGAACTGAAAGTGCCTTCCTAGCGCCCAGAACCTGAGAAACTGCGTATGATCTCGGTTTACAGGGATTTGGTAGTAGGCGTCCCTCAAGTCTATGGAGGTCATCCAGTCTCCTCTTTTGATGCTCTTCAAGATGGTCTGTAAAGATTCCATTTTGAATGTTCTTACATCTAGCATGGAGTTCACACCCTTCAAGTTCAAGATGAGACGCCACTTTCCCTGGGGTTTTGGGGCCAAGAACACTGTGGAGTAAACCCCCAGGAATCTTTCCTGTCTTGGAACTTCTTCCACCACTTCCTGTTCCAGGAGAGTAGAAATGCAGGTCCTCATGGCCCTTCGTTTGATGCCTACAGACACCTTGGATTTCTTGAAGAAAGCGGATTTTGGGCAAGAGGAAAATACTATCCTGTAACCCTCTTTTATGATGGATGTGATCCACGCGTCCGTAATAGTTTTGGCCCACACGGGGTAGAAGAACTTCAGTCTTCCTCCCACAGTCCCCGAACGGGCCTGAAGACCTTCAGAAGGTCTTCCCAGAAGTTCTAGCTCCTCTTCCTCTGGAAGCCTTATTGGAAGAAAAGTGTGAGAAGGATTTCCATGAAGAATTTCTGGAATACTCCCTTCCTGGTTTATAGCTTCTGCTGTCAAAAAAGGACCGATCCTTGAAGCGCTTAGTCTTCCAGGAGGAGGGAAAGCTCTTTCTGCTTACTTTAGGTAAAAATGCTTTTTTCCCCATCAGCAGCTTTTTGAATAGCCTCCTTCAGAATCTTACCAAATAGGAAATCCCCTTGGAAGGGAAGGCCACACAAGGATACCTTTGAGGCATAGTCCGCTCCCCACGAATGAAGCCCATAAGGCCCTTCTAGAAGCCACAGACAAGGCAATACTCTTGGCAATCATGCGAGTGATGTCTACGGAGGCTTCTGAACAGAATTCCGTGGCAAGTCTTAAGGCTCTCCAAGAGATGTTCCCTACGGACACCCCGATCAATGTCCTCCTCCAAATTAGCGAGCCACACTCTTAAGGCTCTGGAGAGAGTGGTCAGTGCCACTGCCGGATGAAGGGCGGAGCCCAGGGCCAAGTAGGCTTTAATCAAATCTCCATCCATACGCTTTTCCATAGGCTCCCTGAGATATGCCATGGAGTCAATAGGCAGCGTAGTTTTCTTTGCCATATGAATTACAGCAGCGTCAATCTTAGGAACTGAATTCCATAGGTAGCAGTCCACGGCAGAGAAAGGATAAATCCTTGTGAATTTATTTTTCAAGGTGGATTTCATTTCTGGCTTATTCCATTCTAGAAGGATCATGTCCCTGATCGAGGAATGCACTGGGAAGGTACGTCTATTCGGTTTTAGGTCCTCAAAGAACCTGTCAGCCTCTCTCAATTCAGACTTTTCTTCCGTGAGACTAAGAGTGTCTCTGAGAAGGGTAATAAGTCTATCAATAGACTTTGAGTCAAGGGACCTGGAGGTATATTCAACTTCCTCCTCACCATCATCTGAGACCTCCCACACATCAGGGTCTTCTCCAGAGCTGGAAGACTGAGGTTCCGCTCTGCGTCTCTTACTTGGACCACTAGACACCATGGTAGACTTAAAGCCCTTAGCAATAACTTGGGAAATCCAGAGCTTAAGGTCGTCCTGTGGGGAACCCCTACTGGGGACATCTGCCGCTTCCCTGCAAAGGTTCCTTCCATGCGGAGCAGGTGACGAACAATTAATGCCTTTATTGGTCTTTTCCCTTGATTTCCTTGCTGGAGAATCCAGATGCTTGCTGGGGTTGAAATAAAGCTAAATATGACATATTACAGGCTTAGTTTGGCACTCATTTAACAACCCCCCCATTAAAAAATTAATGGCTCACCTATGTTTTCTAGAGAGAGGGATCTTGCAGAGGCAGAGGGAGAATCCATACTACAAAGGAGAATTAAAGGGAATTCAAAACACAATTCCCAATAAAAAAGCCAGAGGCAAACTGACAAGCAAAAAACCCTCAAACAAGAAACACAGAAGAACTGGTAATCCTACCTTGTAATGACAGTAAAAACCTCCAGGCAGCCAAGAAATAACAGCAAAGGACGAACTGCAGAAAAACCAGGACCGCAATCGCCTTAACAGCTGATGCAGTGCACAGGCAGAGTCTGTATCATCAAGTGTATATATAGAGCCGGGGAAAACGTCCGGTCCGCGCATGCGCAGACCGCTGGAATGCACTGTATGCGGTCCAAATGCTCGCGGCCGATGCAAATCACTTCTGGGTTCAGCCGCGATTACAATATCGACTGCTGGAACGCATACCGCGTTCCAGCCAACAACGCTGGTACCCCCAGGAAGCCACAGTAAGTCGGCGAAGTGCCCCCACAGCTGCAGGAAACACACTGCCCGCCAAGAACCCAGGAGACACCCCAGGGAACCACCTGAAAACCAGACAAAGAAAAAAACACTACAGGTCTGTGCAGGGTCTCCCCAAAGGAGGACCCCCTAGTATGGATTCCAAAGAACTGCCATCAAGGTATGGGGGGGATTAAAGACCCCAATTACTAGGGGCAATCCAATAATAAGGGGAATTTTTAAGGATAACCAACCCCATTAATAAACAGTGTCTCCCTCAGAACACCTTCCATCTAAGTCCCACGCTGAAGTTCAGTACTTACACTGAACCTGACCCAGTTAGTCCTGCTCATGCAGGCTGTTTACTGGATCCTTCAAATGAAGAGAGGCTGAACTTCATTTGGAACGAACCCATGACAAACACAGGAAGGTGGCCATAAAATAAAATGTAAAAAGTCCTGTAGAACTTGCTAAGGACAGGAAAAAAGACTGAGTAAGGGGAGGAGGGACTCTTTATACCCATCAGTCGAATTAATCTAATTAATTCCTGTCCTGTGACTGCTAAGGGAGGCATGATTAGCTAGGAAAGTGAGTATTTTTCCAACCAACAAATTTGAATTCACTGGTCATTTGCACCAAAACTGTGAACCCCCAAATAATCAATGGATCTACAGAGACATTCCAAAACAGTTGAATTTGAAAAATGATCCAAGTCCGCTGCTTTGAGCCCAGATATCGTGGTCTTAAATGGACACTGTAGGCACCCAGACCACTTCAGCTCATTGAAGGGGTTTGGGTGCTGTGTCCCTTTTGCACCTCATGCTGCAATGTAAAATGTTTCCATTGCAGCACTAAATCTGCCCTCAGTGGCTGTCTAACAGGCAGCCACTGGGTGCGCTTCCAGAATACAAACGGACTTTTGGTCCGTTATATGACGCTGGAAGTCCTCACGCTCTGCATGAGGACCTCCAGAGTTCGATTTTCCTCATAGTAAAGCATTGGTTAAATGCTTTCCAAAGGGGAGGTCTAATGCATGCGCATTAGACCCCGCTCGTCATGAGACATTGGCACTGGGATAAGGTAAGCAAATAAAGGGTCTTTAACACTTTATTTACCATGGGGGGAGGCAGAGGAATCAGTAGTGCCAGGAATATAGTATCCCTTTAAATTTGAAATCACTTAGAATTTAAGTTTGAAATTGTCAGGCTTAGTGCGTAACTCTGTGTGAATTTCAAATATTTATCTTGCAATATTGTTTTACCTCAGGTGAAGAGGCGCTCCATGAATACCTCAGAACAAAGGCCGTCACAGTGGAATATTAATGTGAATCACTACCCAGGCTGTCTATCTGGGACTTTTCATCGATGCCCAGTATTACAGAAAACTACTACACCCACGCAGAGGTGCATACGCACAATTTGTACAAGCTAAAATTTACCTGGACAGAAACATTAAATGGAAACCAATAAATGGAGTAAATGTATTTAGATTTGAGGCAAAGATATAGCAGAACAGGTCTGGTCACTTATTTCCTCCCTGTCAAAGGAAATCATGAAAAATTAGTAGAAACTGCATTGCAATATTTGTTGTTCTGCAGGTATAGTGTGGGGCTTGTGAAAGTAATTTAACTTACTTCGTAGGTATATCATGCAACACATAACCGTTACAATTGGATTTTCAGATCAGATAGATCTAGCTACTTCGTCCTCATAACACCCTTGAGAGTCAAGCCATCGACAATAAAATAAAAATCTCCCTGACGATTTGTCTGTTACCGGCATTGGACATACCTCTCTACCTTATATCTTCTGCCTGAAAGATCATCTAAAGGTTTTGGTGGAAAAGGAGTCAACACACTCTTCATATTGACATTACATTGAAAATAATTATTCCCTAGTATAAAAACGAGATGGCACGCAGATATGCGGCCTTTGTTAAATCATCTTACTTCCAAGGTTTGCAATAAAACATGCACAAACAAGGGTTCTTGGTAGGAGGAGACTCAATGCAAAAGGTTTGGGTGGTTTTTAAGCTTCCATTTCTAGACTTTCTACATCATAAAATGCATTTTAAGATTAAAATTATGTGTAATGAAAATTAAAAACCAGTGGAGTGCTTATTTCTCTTTAAAGTGCAAATTATCTATGCATACCAGTGCACAATATAGTGACACTTAACTTTGTATTCCAATTTGAAATACGTCAGTCTTTTTATCTTTAAATACATATAAAGTGCATGTAGTGTAAAACCTTAAACAACCACAAATGAGTGCTAATGGAACACTCACATGATATAGAGCTATGGAACCTAGCTCTCGTGTGAAGGGCCCGTTGGTTCGTTATGGGTGACCACGCCCCTCTTCAGTGAAGTAGCTTCAATTATTCTCAGAGTTTCTCAGGATAAGGAAGATAGGCAATATAGTGAAGTTCGACTTGACAGAAATTAAAAGGTGCTTGTACTTATATTACAAGTGTAGAGCATGTAACCTTGCTCCGTAAAAAGCCGTAGCATAGTTTGGGACTACGGTCCCTTCTATATGAATGCAGGAATCCAGAATGGTATTGTAAAAACAATAAAAGTAAAGATACACCAGAAAATGTTAGAAACGCGTTTTGCAGTTTTCCTGCCTTTTTCAGTCTGCTGATGTGGCTCCTAAAACTATGTACCTGGAATAGCTGACTCACACCGACTTTATTTGATGATTGTTAATATTTTTAATTCACAGTATGTGATTAGCAACAAGCCTTATGTCTGTTTATCTGTCCTTAATTAATCAATTAACCATGAATAACTATTCATCCTTATTTGAAATATTGCAAGGTATAATGTTTTACAGCCTATACACCACTCCATGTCTAATAATTCTACAAAACAAGTTCATAAGTCAGAACAAATATGAATTTTGTAATATATTAATAAAAATGGTTTAATACCCTGCTCATTGGTAAGGAATATGCTGGTATTTTGGGATTGTAGACTACCCCGCTGTTATTACAAAAGAAATGCAGGATACAAATAGAAGAGAATATAACAAAGCAGTAAACGCATGATTCCAAGGCATTAAATAACTAGTGTTCCTATAATTTTAACTTTTTTTTATTTTTAGAAACTGCAACGTTTACTTTGAAAAGTTAGATCCACCTCTAGCAGCTGTCTACCTTAGAGCCAATACTCTACAGACTCTGCTATGACATGGAAACTTGCATGCAAACCAGGTCCACAATGCTCCTGGGGAGTATTGGATTGGCCATCAGTAGAGGAGGCAATGCCTCAACGTTGAGAGGAGAGGTGAGCAGTGCTGAGGAAGTCTCCGCACTGGAATAAGAGGGGTAAATCCCTGTACTTTACTATTTTTTATGAAAAAATCCCTGTACTCACACCTAGAGACAGGGCCACTACAACTTTCGCAATACAGGTATGTATTTCGAATGCAAATCCAAATAGGCCCCACTGAGATTACCTAGAAAGTGAAGCAAGGAAACTGGTAAATTTAGCTATGGTTGGGGCCATAATGCCAGACATTAAAGGATAGAGCAATAACATTTTCTGGATAGGAAAATCTGTCTTTTTTGAAGTTAAACCATGAGAGAGCAGAGGTACTAAATGTGTGTTGACAAGTTGACAGCACCCACAGCATGATCCCACCATAATCACTGCAACAACATTAGAGTACTCATTTAAATTGAGGTTCTTGTGTAATACAGAGGGTGGAGGGAAAATTAGCCTTAAGACAAATACATAGCTAACCAATTACTTATTGAGGAGTTTGTTAGTGGTTTTGGTCTCCGAGCTGCAGCATATTTATTCAAAGACCCATGCAACAGTAGGAAATAATCTGTACTTTTATATTTTTTTCCAAGAATAATAAAAGCAGACAGTTTTACTTTAAAGGGACAATCTAAGCACCAAAACAACCTTTTCTGAATAAAGTGGCATATAGCTATTACCATTGCCGTCTCACTGCTCAATTCTTTGCCATTTAGGATATAAATCACTTTGTTCATGCAACCCTAGCCACACCTCCCCTGGGTGAGACACACACAGCCTCCCTAAACACTTCCTGTGAAATAGATCTAATTTACAAATTTATTTTCTGTGTTTGATTAAAGCAGTTACCATTAAATGTAAACATACTGTGCTGTCACATCTGATTGAAAATGAAAAACATTTAAAAAAAATTAAAAAAAATAAATTCATGTTGGAAGTGTAAAAGTGGCTTGGGCTGTATAAACAGAAACAAACATGATTAAACGTCTAAATGGCAGATAACTGAGCAGTGAGGCTGCAGAGGCATAATCTATACACAAACTGCTTCATTAAGCTAAAGATATATTGATGCCTACAGTATCCTTTTGAGGCTTACACATTTATTTTTTAATAACATGTACCTTGATGAACTTTTCAAGGCTTCTTACAAGATAATGTATCACCGTCTAAAATTTGTTTTTTTCCCCAAGCATCTTTCTAGATACCAGGCATACTGAACTGTTACACTTTGTACATATCTAGTATAAAAATCATTAATGTATATATAAATGCCCAAACACCTTTGTTGAACGAGGTGTGAACTTTAATAACTTTTTTTTAAATATACTTTTATAAAAAGCATGCAGAGATCTCTGTCCCCAAATGACAATACCTTGAAAAACAAAACTTTTAAGTACAAATTGTAGAAAGATTATTACAGTAATTTCAGAATATTGGAACAATATGAGATCCCCCTTACATGTTTCCTCTAGTTCTCTCTATGTAGTTATTGAATTATTCTGTCTTCCAAACTGGACCATTCGCCAACAAATTCATATTCTGCTACACTGGGATTGCAAATTAGCCACTGTGAACTGCAGAATTCTGTTACAGTAATGGAGCGGATGTGCTCCTGTACAGTAAGTAAGCCTGATGAGCAGAACTTTAAATCAGTTTTCCAAGACTTCAATGTTGCCCTTTTTCACTTTTTTTGTTAATCTGATGTTCTCTTCAGTCACTTCTTCAGAGACATCACTGTCTGAGCTGCTCGCCGCCTCTCCATCGCTGGTATCAGAATCATCAAGTTCTACTACTGATACATTCTGTAAAATAAAGACATACTTTAATTACACTTCTCTAACAGATAGTAATGGTTAATACTAATAATAAACCAGACAAAACGGTTACTATATTAACAAAATTGTGTAGTAGGGATATCGAAAAAACCTGGACCAGTTGTCTGGGGATTGTTGTACTAGTCACGGCATTTATTATATATGGGTGCACTGCCAATATGAGGAAATTTTACAAAATAAAAAAAAAAACTCAAAACTGTGCTTAGCGGCATAGTAAAAGAAAAAATACTACAAACTGAAAGACTGAAAGCAATGCACCTATAGTGAAATCTCACAGTATCCTGCCAGTTTAATTAACGTTCAATCAATGCCATTTAAAAGTTTATGATAAACTTCAATCATGCACACTATGCATTTTGTAAATTCGATTTCTATACACTTCCTGAGGATTGAAATCTTTACCCACAAAGCTACATTGGTTTTTCAGGACACACATAGGCCTATCTACTAATGTGGAAATTGTCAGAAACTCAAACGTGGTTTCAAATTTGAACATCAAAAATCAGTTTGAATTGTGATAATTCCCACTTTGCTGACCATTTCCATGGTCATGTAGCACTTTTTAATATATAAATTACAATGCTAGATGTGATTCCTACCATCTCGATGATCTTTTCCTCATGGTCTTCAACTTGTTCTATGTCAAAAACACCAGCTGGTGAAGACTCCATTTCCTTGCTGAGTCTTTCATTGGCCTGGGCCAGCTGAGGTAGAAAGTTCTGGACTCTGTCCAAGACTACAGATGCAACAGCAAAAACAAAACAAATTTCAAATAGAGTTCTGATTCATAAACAAAAAAAAAAACATACAGCTTACACCATAGATCTATAAATACTAATACGTTTCCTGGGCAACTATTCGAAAACATTGATTTGTTGGTATTTGCAAGCTGTAGAAACAGTGCCATAAAAAGAAACACAAGCAGACACACAAATTGCAAATTTAGGTACAAAACTTAGCACACCTTAGACTCTGTTGTAAAATGCAAGAAATGTGTCTATATTTTTCTTTCTTAAAACACACATGGATGTAGTGTGGACAATACTCAGGAATTTAGGTTTTAATTACTTGAAACGCCAATGTCTGTCCAGGACTTTTGCATCAAAATGTGTGAATTATGCTCAGCATAGAAATTTAGCACTATTACAATATTGTAAATTGTACAGCACAGTTGCTAGGCAAAACTTGTTTTTGACACTTGATTGCTAGGATTTACTAAACATGGCAAACTTGTTGGGCATTATGGTATGAGAAATGGGTACACTGGTAAATGATTGTCAATGTAACCTACAGTTCACAGTTGAAGGAAATTGGATTGTGCTTTACACTACTTTTCATGGTTTGTTGTTTTTTTATGGAAATCTGGGTGAGAAATATGTGCAATAGTTACATAGCTGAAAAGAGACTTGCTCCATCAAGTTCAGCCTACCTCACATTTGTTTTTTGCTGTTGATCCAAAAGAAGACAAAAAAACCCAGTTTGAAGCACAATTTTGCAACAAGCTAGGAAAAAAATTCCTTAAATAAATTGCAGTCCCACTTTTGTAGCATGTCACCAAGACCTATGATGTATTTTGTTTTTTTAATGGTCACACAAACAGATACATAGAACATTTTTCTTACTGCTACTCCTAGGCATTCTGACGATTGGTGACCCTGGTCCATTGTTGCTGTGTTTTTTGTTGATGAGTAGTTTGTTATAAAGTCCTAAAAATGAAAGCAACATGTTAACATTCTTTTATGGATCAGGCTAGGAAATCACAACTATTACAGCTGCTGCCTTAACTGCATCACTTAAAGGTCCATCCTTATAGTTGCTTTTAAAGAACAATTGTAATGTTGAAAGTATTTTTTAATATAATCATCCTTTCATTAAGGTTTGAAAGGGCATAGATTTTTTATGAATGAAGTATATGTAAAAAATTTGGGTGGGGGTGGGGATTAATCCGCAACTTTAGTATATTATAGAAACCTTCAGCAGCCATATACATACATATACCTTGGATCAGACAGTCTGTGGTCTTCCCTGATTCTGTGCAGGGAAAACCAGAGAGACTAACTGTTGGTTATCAAGCACTGTCTAACGAAAGAGATATATATCTGAAGCATCCAGTCATCTACTAAATGTAGGGATGCGTTTCTCTCTTTTTTGTGTGTGTGTGTGACTATACTTTATTAAATATATACAGATATTGCCTTTCAAAACTTGATAAAAGAATTTTGAGAATAAAAAAAAATAAACAAAAAACGTTTTGGAGCTGACAGTTTTCTCTAGTGATGTACACATTGCAGCAGGGTTTGCTGAAGCTGAACCACAACGACCCCAACCCTGAGCTATCTATAGATCGCAAACTATAAATTAAAAAAAAAAGTTATACAACAATGGCGAGCTCAGACTGTTCTCATAACAAACATGACTTATGCAATGCATTTACCTGGAGCCCAACTATTGTTTAGATATGTATATTCTAATATTATGCATATGTATATAATAAACCAACAATATTGAGCCCATACGTGGTCTGATTTGCAGAAGGGTTTTAAATATCCTGTAGGTGAATGAAAAAAAAATACAATATTGTTGTCTCACTATTAAACATTATTACCAGTCTAAGATATGAAGTGATAACTTCAACCAGTGCTATACAAGCAAAGTCATGCCTGGCTAAAATAAATTAAATTTCAGGTCCTGGGTTATGTTCCACTTTCTCCCAGTCAAAGCAGAGCTAAATATCTGCCATGTGGTCTGTGTGGGAGCGGTAGGTGACCCATTAGGGGAGCATAGGGTTAATACTTACCTCCTGTGCCACTGCCAACACTCAGCAGGTCCCTGGAGGTGGAATCAGGGGCTTTACAGCCCTCCTCGCCTTCCATGCCAGCCAGGAGTGAGGAGAAGGCAATGTGCTAATGTTACAGGCAACCCACACAGGAAGTGGGCGCAGAATAACTACGTCACAACACTGAGGGCGGAAGCACTATACTTAGCTTTAGACTTGCCCATAACAAAAATGGTTCCCACGTGTATTACGTTTCCAAAAGCGACCAAACCTCTTTGAACGGGACAAGCTTGGCAAAGTGTGATGGGGTTTTAAAGGGACAGTACAATATTAAGTTAGGATGGATGAGTGAGGCTTTGTAAAAAAAATATATATATATTCAGGATGAAGGTGACTCCCATTATTTAATATGAGTTATATAGATTACACATACAGAAAAGCAAATAAAGAGAGAAAAAAAACAACTTTAAGAGGAAAAGCCCAGCCTTGTAGCAGGGAATCAAGTAGGCAAGCTATAGTGTGTTTATTACTCCTACTAGTGATCTCCACAGCTTGGACCAAAACATATTTCCATATAATAGAAAAATATCCCTCCATATTTACTGTATTCACTTCCTCCAGCTGTTTTTTGACCGTTTCATTCATGGGTAGCTCTTGTAATGTTATACAGTACATTAAAATGTAAATAGGAGGCGCTGGACATAGTACCCAACCCCATTCTTGTAACTAGCTGAACGTGGGTAGGGGCGTAATACTGGAATAGCCTTGAAATGAAAAGTACGGTAAATATGTAACGAATGTTCCCTATAAATATGACAGTATTACTCTTGGCTAGTAACCAGGCAATAAAACACATGGGAAATTATACTTCCTCCTGGCTGCCGCAGTATCACAAAGGTATGAAAGGTGGATGGTGATATGCTGATACCGTCAGCTGGCACTCTCAGCCTATCACCGTGTAGAATATTACATATTCTATGTTCATATGAGGTGTGGATGTCTAATGGGTTAAAAAGAACAGATTGTAATTTGTACCATGATAAGTCTGGAAGGTGGGTGCGTAATGAGAGGGTCGAGGGTTTTCATATGTGTCTTTATAGGACCTGAGTTTTAGTTAGAAGTTCTGACGTCATTATAGTAGAACAGTAGAAAAGGACCAAGTCCTACTACTCTTTGGTTGAATTTGTGGACAAAGATGATTACTCTCCATCGAAGATCTCTCTTTGTAACATCAGTTAAGCTGTACTGTCTGTTAAGTTTCTACGTACGGATTGTTGTTTACATTGTGAGTAGAATAAATGTATAATTTTTTATAAAAAACTTCAGATTGCCTATTAAAATTTTTGCGAGCCATTAATACAAGAAGATATATGCATAAAAATACTTTTTTCCAATGACCCTTAACATATACATACAGGGCCGGACTGGCCCACCGGGATACCAGGAAATTTCCCGGTGGGCCGCGGCACCTGGGGGCAGGGCCGGACTGGGACCTAAAATCAGCCCTGGAAAAAAATTCTATACCAGCCCAATAATGCGTCGCGCCAGCATAGTGTGCTGATAAAGAGGGTGAAAAAATAACTTGAAATTGAAAACTCTTACTCCAACGAAGGAACGCATATAGGGCTTCAAAATAAACAAAAGAGCGCCTTTATTTTAAGTAGACGTACATTTGCATGTAATGTTTCAGTACAACTACTTTGGCCTATTAAGGACATTTTAGTAATGGTACTGAAATGCTGAATGTCTGCAGTTGCACAACTAAAAAATGAAGTGATCTTGTTTATTTTGAAGTTCTATGGGTGCGCTCTTCACTTTGAATATGTTATTGTGCATGAGTATGCAACTAGCAACAAGACAGGGCCAATACGTGCTCATTATATATATATATATATATGTATATATATAATGACATATTTAATGACATTTATGTGTGTATTATGCATAAATAAATGTATATTACTATATGTGTAAATATTATAGGCATAATTATATGTTACTAATACACACATCAATATACATGCATATATATATGTGTGTATTACTGTCAGGATCACATCAATTTACGTCTATTACCTTTACCTTGTTTAGTATATCTTGTCTCCAATTGTCTCCTTTTTTTCTCTTACAGCGACCCTTGTGCATCTTTTACTTCATCCCAGTCCCTGTGTGTTTCTTTTTACCCTTCTCCAGCCTCTGTATTTCTCTTTCCCCAGCCCCTTTTGTGTTGTTCTTAACCCCAGCCACTTTGTCTCTTTCTCCCCTTCCAAATCTCATCTGTGTGTCTCTTTCTAACTCCAGACTCTGTGTGCCTCTTTCTCTTCTCCCAGTCACTCTCTATCTCTTTTTCCCCAGCCCAGCGTTGCCTCCCACAAATCTTGTGTCACTTTGTTCCCCTTCCCTACTGTATGTCTCTTTGTCCCCCCAACAAACCTTGTGTCTCTCTTCCCCATCTCCTCCCTGTGTCTCTCTCTTACCCCTCTGTCTCTGTGTCCCCCCTTCTCCTGTGTCTCTCTATTACCCCTCTCTTTGTCCCCCCAACCTCCTATTACCGCTCTGTCTCTTTGTCCCCCCCTTCCCTGGTGTCTCTCTATTACCCCTCTCTTTGTCCCCCCATTCTCCTCTATTTGTCTCCCCCCATTCCCCTCTATTTGTCCCCCCATTCCCCTCTACTGAGGGGTAATAGAAACACAGGGGAAGGGGGACACAGAGACTGAGGGGTAATAGAGAGACACACGGAAGGTTTGTTGGGGGGACAAAGAGACATACAGTAGGGAAGGGGAACAAAGTGACACAAGATTTGTGGGAGGCAACGCTGGGCTGGGGAAAAAGAGACAGAGAGTGACTGGGAGAAGAGAAAGAGGCACACAGAGTCTGGAGTTACCATTACTAAAATGTCCTTAATAGACCAAAGTAGTTGTACTGAAACATTACATGCAAATGTACGTCTACTTAAAATAAAGGCGCTCTTTTGTTTATTTTGAAGCCCTATATGCGTTCCTTTGTTGGAGTAAGAGTTTTCAATTTCAAGTTATTTTTTCACCCTCTTTATCAGCACACTATGCTGGCGCGACGCATTATTGGGCTGGTATAGAATTTTTTTCCATGGCTGATTTTAGGTCCCAGTCCGGCCCTGTATACATATGTATTACACACTGGCCGCCCATTAAGAGACATAGTGCATACTAGCTCGTTTGAGCAGGGTCCTCTACTACCTATTGTTCCTGTTACATTTTGTTATTGTGTCTTTTGGTAAATTCCCCTCTTATTGTAAAGGGCTGCAGAATAAGCTGGCTCTATAAATACCAATAATAATAATACTATAAATCTCAGCAGTTGACCAGGATGCTGCCACACTACACCCATTTGTCCTGAACAGAACATGTGTCACATTCCTGATGCATATTCTCAAGCATCTTTCCTGCATGTACGTAAAAACATGCATGTATTCTTGGCGAGAAAGAGTGACGCAAACTAATGTGCACATAATACTACCTATATAAACCCCTCAGACACCTAAGTGTTCCAAACTTTAGTTTGCCTGGCGCCCGCACCGCTCCTCTCCTTCACTTCGGGAACTGGTAGACTCTTTAACGGATATACTCAGTCGGAGCATAGGGGATCCCTTACAACTTCTAACCCCCAATTCATAGAGCAATGAGACTACGTGGTGTAATAAGTAACACTGCAGAGCTATTACAATTACACCCAGGTTGAAAGATATTTTGAACTAGCATTTTGGATATCTACATTGCGTGAAGATGCCTTTATTGTCAGATCTACAATCTAGTCACTCACTTGATTATGAGAAGCAACCGTGCTCAGGTATCTGCTCTTTAATTGGTGCGGTCTGGCACAATTAAGAAAGTTATGTGTTACACAAACTTTGTCAGCATATTCTGATTTGGTGATTGCACTGCAGGAGTTGAAACAAAGTATCTCACAGGTGACTATAAATATAATTTATGCTAAGGATAGCCCTTTAGACGTCAGATGATTAAGGTTGTAGCTGTATAGTCATTAATTCCACTTCCCCCCGGCTATACATTCAATAGCAAAAAACACCTTCACTTTATCGCTTAGATTATATTTTAAGTAATAAGCGGTTGACATTGCTTCATAATAATAATAAGCATTAACTGGCATCATGACAAGTACACTTTAATAGCTGTGTTTCATTTTAAGCCTTTGCATAATTGTGGGATTGTGTTTTACAGACACAGATAAAGTAACACTCCAAGCACTATAACCACTGCAGCCTACTGTAGTGGTCATGGTCAGGGCCGGATTAACATAGGGGCTGATGGAGCTGCAGCTCCAGGCCCAGGCCCATGGAATAGGCCCATTGATTTAAAAAAAAAAAAAAAAAATTTTTTTTTTTTTTCACACACTACTCTTAGGGATTCCACCTGGCTTTTATTTTATTGGCACAGCCAGTATTTGAGGCTGACTGGCTGACAATGAATATAGTTAAAGGGACACTATAGTCACCAGAACAGCTACAGCTTATTGCATTTGTTCTGGTGAGTAGAATCATTACCTTCAGGCTTTTTGCTGTAAACACTGTCTTTTCAGAGAAAATGCAGTGTTTACATTACAGCCTTGTGATAACTTCACTGGCCACTCCTCAGATGGCTGTTAAAGATCCTTCCTGGGTCATGGCTGCCTAAAATGCATCCAAACATTCAGTGTCTCCTCCCTCTGCATGCAGACACTGAACTTTCCTCATAGAGATTCATTAAATTAATCTATATAAGGAGATGCTGATTGGCCAGGGCTGTGTTTGAATCATGCTGGCTCTGACCCTGATCTGCCTCTTTGTCAGTCTCAGCCAATCCTATGGGGAAGCACTGTGATTGGATCAGGCTACCACTTCTAATGATGTCAGCAGACTGCTTGTTTTTATGAGTCTAACAGCATGCAGAGTTGCAGCTTCAGGCTTGAATATAGTAGGATTTTGCTATATTTATGGAGGCATGAGGGGCCCAGGGGGGCTAGATGGTGGTGTTAACACTATAGGGTCATGAGGGGCCCTGGGGGGCTAGATGGTGGTGTTAACACTATAGGGTCATGAATGCTGACTTTGGTCTCTCTAACACAGTGGCATGTTCCCTTTCTTCTACACTCACTACATACAGCTTTTCTCTGTCCCGGACCATATACCAGGAGCTT